GAGTTGGGGCCCTTCTTTTTCAGTTCATACAGATTTGTTTTTCTTCATGTTCATACACTGTGTGACATTATTTGGCCTTCACACCATTCTGATATTGAAAAAGTGAGCAGCACACCCAGTTTTAAGTTTACTCCTGGTTCCCGGTTCAGTATTGCTTTATTTTCAGACCATTCAAGGGAGCCATGTAATAAACTATGTCATGTGTGTGTGAGGGTATTATTCTATATTTTTCATCTTGTTGTTGGTAAAGCTGCATGTGCCTTTGGAAAATAAAGTTAAATATTTACCCTAGCTCAACCACCCCCATCTGCAGAGTTTATGTTTTGTTGGAGTTTGGGCAAGTAAGCGGTGTGTGCAGAATTCCCTGCCTGCTTCTGCTATTGTAAAATGGACTCACAAAAGCCTGTTTTTTTTTTCACAATGAGTATTTTCTATCAGGCCTGAGACCTTACCCAGCCTCGGGGAAGATGGTGAATCCACATGTGATGCTGCATTAGGCTTACGTCTGGGACTGGGTTGTCTCAGTTGGTGGGCAGCAATGTATATGCAGAGGGATCTAAGGAGCAGTCTTAGGACTTGGCACATCCCAGAGGCAGACTATAAATTGCTCAGCAGCCCTGGCTCAACAAAGTCTCCTTGCCAAGCTAAAGTCTGCATACCAAGGCAGTGCTCAGGGCCTTCCTGCCTCGGCCAGCTGTGACAGCTCCACTGAGGACTCGTGGACAACATACCCACTGCCACATGCTTTTCATGCATGCTTCTTAGAAAAAGGCTGCTCTGTTACAAGGCCCCTTGGGACACTGAGAGCTGCCCAGAACATCTCAGCTGGGATGTTTTGGGGCACCTACACTCAAGCTTCAATCAAAAAACAAAAATACACTAGCAACCCCTTCCTGCCCTCTTCCCTTTCATCTCCCTCCCTACTCCGCCTACCATGACTTCGAGGCATTGGTCTTCAAACAGCTTCAAATCAAAGCAGACACAGTGACTGGACTGATGATAGAGTTCTAATCCCACGGAGACATGTTTCTGTTAGGTCTCAGAAGGACAGAGGCTAAACAGCAGCCACATCTGTGCAGCTGAAGATTTGTCCCACCCAGGGAAGCTCTGAGGGTTGCCAACAATCTTGCTGGCCGTACACAGAGGGAGATACCTGCCTGCAGGGGGCAAGAAGGAAGCGGAGGTGGCACGATTAGTGTTCATTGCATGCAGCTGGCACACGGCTTTGTAGGAAACATGGCCCAAGGGTGGCCATGGGGTGCCAAGAAAGCATGTAGCAACCATGAGACTCGAGATGCTACAAGCAACTCTTCATTTGCTTCCTCCTCTAGCAAAGAAAATTCTTCCAGGCTTTCTCTCAACCTTCCTCAGGTACAGAGAAGTTTCTCCTCCGTAAAACTTTCTCCTCAGTTTCTTACGGGCTTCTCCACCCTCTAAAACCAGTGCCACAGGAGAATTTTTGTGATAACGATTTTTAATATATTGATGTTACTCTATGAGATGGAAGAAGTGTCCACCAGGCCTTTTATCATCATCACAGAACATGAAGCCCTAAGGGTCTAGCATGGTCTAGCACATGGGTCTAGCATGGTCTAGCCCTAAGGGTCAAGCAGGGTCTAGCACAGAACATGAAGCCCTAAGGGTCTTCACCTTGTGTGCTTTGTTCTCTCAAAAGGATCTGTTACCTGTGGTGCAGTATGTGCATGCGTTGTATGTGCATGCACATAATAACACCTAACATATGCAAGACAGATTAGACACTGTATAGTAAATCCATGGAAATGCAGAGCAGAATCTGGCTTTAAGACCTTCATTTCTGGCTGAGATGAGCAGCACTGTGAAGTTCACAGTCAAATGTGACTTTTGGCAGACATCACAGCCCTTGCTCTTCAGAGGTCTTTTACAGGGGCCACCATGAAGCTCAGAGTTAACCCCAGATGTGGATGTCCCCAGAATCAAAGTACACCTACGTTTTAGAGGACAGGACAGGAAAAAGGTAGGATGTCATTCGAGTGCCACCTTACATCTGCTCTGAGGACAAAAAGCTTGAGTGTGTAAGGAGGGATGAACGTACAGAGGGAGAAAACAATTTCTACAGTACTGACGTGAGTTGTGAGGGGTTCGCGTGACAGAAAATATCAGAAATCTAGGTATCCTAAGCTAATCTTCTAGGTCTTGTCTGTACTGAGTGGAGTGCAGTAGATACCTCCCCGGGAACTGTATCTCATCCACTTCTTTCAGAAGGGAGTGTTAACACTGGAAAAAGTAAGATTTGCCTGGTGTAGGAATTGAACTTCTAGATTACATAAATCCCATCCTACGCATCCATTCCACTGATGCGCAGCAAGGCTGTGGAGAACATTAATACTGGGAGCGGATGAGAAGGAGGAAAAAGGAACTGAAAATCTTTTATCATGGAGTTTCTGTACCAACTTCCCCAAACAGTGGGGAATTTATTTATTTATTTACTTATTTGTTTATTTATGCAGAGGGAAATGGTTCAAAATAAGTCCTGTACCCTGCTTGCTTGGAATTCAAAAGTGGAGGAGAAGGAGTTGATTCTACTACAGCTGCTGGGTTTTTGTTTGTTCCTTCCATTGAGGCTGGAATTTGAAATAATCATCATCGAAAAATAATATCAGGCAGAAATTGACTAAAACACAGCAGGACTTCTTCATTTCTGGGCCAGTGTTGAAAACTATGTTGGCTTTCCTCCCTCAAAGCAAAGGAAATCTGATTTTGTTTAGAATTAACTGCTTGTTTGCCTATTTGTTTTTGCCTACTTTGAACCCCTTTGATGTTTGCAGGAGGAAGGGCTCTGGCCTGGTTCAGGTGAAAGCTCTCTATGACAAAAAATATTCTCCTAGTCCCAGTAGGGGAAGTCAGAAATCCTAACTTAGAAGCACCAGGGAGGGTGGACACTGGAAACATGCAAACTCATTGACTGGAAAGCTACCAATGTCTACAAGTGCTGAAATGAAAACATGACACAACAGATCAGTCAGCACTTATTACTGAATAAATCAGCAGGCTTCAATGTTAATCACTGCAGCCATCCATGAACTCTCACAGAGCGTAGAAACACTGTTAGTTCTGCCTAGAACTTTTTTGGTTTGTTTTTTTTTTGGGGGGAGAGGGGTGATGTTCATTCCTATGGTGGGAGCATCACATGCTGTATTGTTTTCTGCCTGAAAGTCAACTTTCTGCCCAAAGTCTTGTCACCTGAAGAAATGTGAAGAAGCATAACTGTTCAGATAGCTGTTAGAATAAGAAAATGAAGAGAAAAAAGGGAGAAGATATTGAGAATCTGAACTCTCATAACGTCATGAGCAGGAAGATTAACACATGCATCCCTAGGGTGAGCTGTTCTTCCCAAAAGGTTGGCTGTGACCAACCAGCCATAGCATAGGTTATAAAACATGTAGTAGGATCTAAGATTTTGGGGTGAGTATATGGTCATACATGTTGTCTGATGGTTCTCCCAGTACTGCTCTGAGCAGAGCCAACACCACAAGATCACAAGAACCACCTCTAGGAGAGCAGGATCCTGCTGTTGATTCACAATGTGGAAAAGGCCCTGTTTTAACTCTTGCACTTGTTTCATACAATGTGCTGCAACAGGTGGGTTTTCCCATTTCACATGTACTTCTTGCTTCCACTTCCCTGAATTTATCCTCCAGCTTTTCAGTTTGCATATGGGAACACTAATAAAAATGAGTACTGCTAGAATAATCCACAAATATTAGTCATTAAAGTAAGTAATGAGTGATGATAATGAGTATTATGAAAGCCAATAGAATATTCTTTTTGCCTCAGCTGAAGGCAAAGAGGAGTACCATGTTGCTTTTTTTCATCGGGCATTACAACACAGCAGGGAGCAGGCACATGAGGACAATTTTCAATGGTCTTTTGGGTACAGTAAGTCACAGTGGGCTTTCAATGCAGTGAGGAAAATAAAAAAATGCTTTGGGGGGCACAGCTGCTTTGTGTGGTGCTACTGCAGTGACAGATCCCAGCTACCGGATAAGGATCTTCAGGTCTATCCAGGAGGCTGGAAAGCAGAAAAGATGCTCATTAAATAGGGATTATGGCTCTGTCAGCCTGTTTAATTAGTCTGGTCTACTTGAAAAGCAGATGAACGGCCGGTTATTTTCACAGCATGTTTTCTGCTAGGCTGCGGTGAGGAAATTAACCGAAATGAGGTCTACGCTACAGGTAGACACACAGGGACCAGTGTGAGTCCTGGGACACTGAGGGGACATGGGAGAGCTGTGGGGACATGTAGGGCCATGAGAGAGCTGGGTATGCTGAGGAGACATGTGGGAGACATGGAGACACCGAGGGGGACATTGACGGAGACACTGAGGGGGACACCAAGGGACATGTGAGAGGTGTGGGGACATAAACAGGACACGTGAGAGCTAGGTACACTGAGAGGCACACCGAGGGGATGCTGAAGGGACACATAAGAGCCTCAAAGATACCAAGGGGGACACTGAGGGGGACATTGAGGAGATATGTGAGAGCTGTGGGGACACAGAGGGGCATGTGAGAGCGATGGAGACTCTGAGGGGACAAGGAGGGTGACACTGAGGGGACATGTGCGAGCTAGGTACTCTGAGGGGCAAAGCAAGGGAGCTGCTAAGGGGACATAGGAGAGCTGTACAGACACCAAGGGTGCGCTAAGGAAACTTGAGAGCCGTGCGAGCTGTGAGGGGCTTTTAAGGTAGCCTCGGGACGCTGAGGCGACATGCGCACATCGCTTTTTGGGGATCGCAAAGGGGAGGCGCGGAACCGGGCGCGCCGAGGACAGCCCCCGCGGAAAAGCTGCGCTACCGGCCGCTGGGCCCCGGCGCGCTCTTCCCGCCCCCCGCCCCGCCGCGCCGCCCCCTGCCCGAGCGCCGCCCTCCGAGGCCGGTCTGGCCGCGCGCGAGCAGGTGGGGCCCGGCAGTAGGGGGCGGGCGGCTAGCGGGAAGCACGCAGGGAGCGAGCCGGGCGGCATGGAGACGGCAGACGGCATGGAGAAAGGGGACGGCGGGGAGAAGGCGGGCAACGGCCACGCGGAGGGCGCGGCGGCGAGCGGCGGAGGGCGGCTGCAGGGCTGCCGGGGCTTCCTGCGGCGCAACGCGCTGGTGCTGCTCACCGTGTCCGGGGTGGTGGCCGGCGTGGTGCTGGGGGCCGCGGTGCGCGGCGCGGCGCTGGGCCCGGCGCAGGTGGCCTACCTGGCCTTCCCCGGGGAGCTGCTGCTGCGCATGCTGCGCATGGTCATCCTGCCGCTGGTGGTCTGCAGCCTGGTGTCCGGAGCCGCCAGCCTGGACGCGCGTTCGCTCGGCCGTCTGGGCGGCATCGCCATCGCTTACTTCCTCGGCACCACGCTGCTGGCCTCCGGCCTCGCCGTCGCGCTCGGTTTCATCATCCGACCCGGAGCCGGCGCCTCCGCCCTCAACGCGCCCGGTCTGGGGCTGCCGGGCAGCGTACCGGCCACCAGCAAGAAGACGGTGGACTCCTTCCTCGACCTCGTCAGGTAGGGCCGCCCCGCCGCCTCCCGCCCTGGGAGGATGATGACAGAGCCGGCAGTGTTGCACGCTGCCGCGGGGGATCCCCCCTCCTTCCTGCTCCTCCCTCGCCGCTTGCCGGCCGCAGCGCTGTGTTAAGAGATGTGAACGGGAGTGGAAGGCTGCGTCTGCCCTGTGTGCCTGCAGATGCAGGGTTGCGCTCAGCAGGGCGCTGGGTAAACTGGCAGTAAAAAAGGCTGTATTCAGAAATCCGAATTTATGCCCTTTTCACGCCATAGAGAAATAAGATCCACGGACCCACCAGTTGCCCTTTGGCAAGGCTGTATTTCATATCCATAACCTACCTCTCTTGCAGTTGAGCCTGACAATTCTTGACAGTCCACACTAAAGACAGTGCGAGTAGGTGGCCTGGCTGCAGAGGTGACATGGAGCAGATAAGCAGTGTAGGCAGGTGAAGAAAAATGGCAAAAGGAGGAGTTAGAATGATGGTGACAGCTGGGAAGAAGGTGACTGTTGTGGTGGCTTTCCCCGGTGTGTCCTAATGCAGCTGATGTAGCTGGTGGCTTGTTTGCATGTTGCCATCCTGCACAGAGTAGGGTGAGAAATGGGACAGACCCTCTGAGTGTTGTGAACTTGCTTCTTGCTCTGGTCTGTAAATGCAGATGGAGAGTTGAGAAGTGTCCTGCTGGTGGTAGGGTTGAGCTCTGAAGGAACGCTCAGAGTAATGAGACTTGGGTAAAGTGTTCAGGTTGTTGAGTGATTTCCTTTGGAAAGCACAGGGCTGGGGACCCTTCCTCAGTATATGCATGGTAGTGACCTTTGAATTCAGCCTTCTCTTGGAGCTTTATGGACAGAGAGCCATCACTGTGCCATCAGCTCTAAAAGCTCCTGTCTTAACAAAGACAAACAAATCCCTGATGAACCTAGGGACGGAATGAGCTGTGTGTCTTCTGAAAATAATACCTACCTCTCTCATTAAATTCCTTCTTTCTTTTCTTTTTTTTCTTTTCTTTTTAACCCAATTATTCTTGAAAAATGTGGGTATTTTGATTTGAGTGCTGATCTTGGTTCTTGCAGCCTTGACTTCAGTTAACGGGGCCTCAGCTCTGCAGGGCAGAAACGTTGCCTTCAGCACGTGTCAATCTTGCAGCATCTCGCTCTTTGCTTTTCTGTTTTACTTTTGTTCCTCAATTTTTCTATCGGATACAAGGAAACTGTTTTCAGTTGTGTCAGAGGCTCCCTGTGTCCGTTGAGCCTTCAGTGTTTAGTTCCTATCAGAAAAAAGATGGAAAGAAGGTACAAGTGGGCAATCTGAGTCCCACAGCCACACTGAAAACACACTGAACTGGACTAAGTCACAGCTGTGAGTCGGATAGTTACCTTGCTTCTGTGGAGGTGACACAGGTTGTTCTTTCCCAGGATGCCAATCCTTTCTGCTTTTGGGAAGTTTATTAATGAGTGACCAAAGCCATTGCTTTCCACTGTCACAACAATGTCTGGAGGACGTTTGGATACTTAGCTGCTGCTGAGGTGTTGGGAAGGGCACAACAGCAGTCACCAGCTAACATATTGTGCTTTATCAGAGTGCTATGGAACGAGCAAGAGCAAATATTTTGCAAGAATCTGTATTGATTTGTCCACGCTTCTGATGGGCTCTTGTCACTTCTGATGGGCTCTTGTCAAGACTGCGTGTTTAAATAGGGTCGGAGTTTTGCTTTGGCTTTGATCTTTGTTTGCTGATTCAATGAAATCGAACAGTTTTGCAGGAACTTCTGATTCTGTTGAAATTTCTAACAGCAGATGAGCCTGGCATTTCATCTTAGTGAGATCAGTGTTTTGATGAAACTTTATACAAAAGACTTCAGTAGAAAGTCTCGCTCATCAAAAAGGAACGTTTCAACAGACTATTTTGCAATATTTTTAGTGGAAGGAAAGGCTTCAGACGGTGCCGTTCTTTGCCTTATTTTGGGATGAAAATGTGTTTTGAAACCATGGGATTGGCTTTGGATTGGGAATTCTGGTTTTGTTTTTAATCTCACAGTAACGTGGTGAGTGGGATGGGCGTAGCATCGTTTGCTTTTTATAGGAAAGGTACGCAGAGGTCCAAGATGTGTGCCTCCCGCAGTAGTGTCAGGGTTTCTTGGGATGACAGATGAGTCTGCAGCATTTACATTTTACTGCTCCTTTTATTGCTCCTTCCTGCCCTTTCTGTCTCCCTGCCAGAGGTTACGAGCTGGGCTGCCAAAAGGAGTACCCACAGCGCTGTGAGCAAGCTAGGATTACCTCCTAGCGCCGTCAGAGCCGGAGGGAGGCACACAGGAGCTTGAGCACAAGGAAAAGCAGTGGCTGCATTCTGCTGGCTGGGCTACAGAGCTGAGGGCCAGGATGGACCACAGGGAAGGTGGGCTCTTGTTCAGACACCAGTCACCCCGGTAGCACTTGCTGCTTCAAATCCTGGTTTTCCAGTGACTCACCCAAAGCAGCATCCATGAAGGCGGTCTCAGAGTATGCTCTGAAGTCCTGCTCTGGAAACAGCAAAACTGTACTGTTAGGAAAGGAGGGGGAGATGTTAGCATCGTAGTGATGACTAGAATTAAGAAGTGGCTGGGAGCAGCTGCAGTTACGCAGAGACACGCTAACCACAGTACTGAGGCTGGATGGCTGAAACTTGGGGGTGCTCGCAGAAAAAGGAGAAATAGTGAATGTTACTGCCTGCCTTTGCTTCTGTCATTTTCTGAGCCTGGATCCTCACTCAAAGTATAGGGATTGCTGACTTGGTTCTTTGTGTAGTAAGCATTTGGCTTTTTTGTTTGCATGCCTACGCTGTGTATTTTTCTAATGTTATTTGTAGAAAGTTGATCTTCTCTACTCCTTTCTTTTGTTCTTTGGTAGTTGCCTTTACTACTGACTTGACCCAGTCATGCTTTATCTCCCAGACAAAATAGTTACAGACTGGACCCTTAGGGCAGGAAAGTATTAAATACCTGCTATAAGTGAGTAACATTCTCAAGTTCCTTTGAGTTAAAGCAGTGGCGCACGCCCAAAAATAATGTACAAGCATAGTACATCCACAGTGATATGAGAAAAACAGATGAGAAAAAGAAGATTGTGTAGTAGTGAATGAAAATCCTGAGAAAGAGGGAAGAAGAAAGCCTCTTAGTAGAGCAGTCCAAGCTGTGATGTGTTCTGGCAGGTTTTCAGATGGCAGTAAAGTTGCTGTCTGTGGACTCTTACCATTGAAAAGACTTCATTGAAAACCGGGAGATAAAGCAGCACAGAATATTTTCCTAATGTTCACCTCATTTAGTCCAGACTTCCTCAGAAAAATGTTTTCCAACAGAAGACTTTTGGCCTTAAAAGTGGAACCTTTGTGTAAGAAGCAACAGAAGAGGAATGCATGTTATTTTAGGGTTTTGTTCTGCTCGCCTGGATTTCCCTTCATGGTTTTGCTGCCAGAGTGAAGCTGTTTGCAGAGCTCTAGCAAAAGAAACATTTAGAAACAGTGATTAATAATAATCCCTTATACATGCAACAAAGGAGTTCCTTTGCCAGCTTTATTCCACAAGGTAAGGGAGAGAGGAATTTGATTGTAACATCAAAATTGATAAGGATGGAAGCTACAGCCTCCAAAGTGAAGCTGCACTTGCACGTTTGGGATATACTGTGCTTTGTTATAGAAGGGTAACCCCATTTCCCCTCTGTAAGAGCTCCGGCATGGCAAAACATATCCATCTTTAGCATTTATATATGCTGTTCTTTACTGTAGTCAAACCCTGAAACTTGTGCAGCTGGTACTGTTGCAGTATGTGGTTCCTATTTTAAGTGGATTTGAGGTGGTGCTTTCCTGTACTGGGCAGTGTGCAGGTACATGGAGATCTCATTGCACAGCCCAGCTGCTGCTCCAGCCCCAGGATGCAGCTGTTATGTATGACAGCTGTCTGGTGGGCTGTCTCTCTGTTTGGTTGTAGCTCAGAGGACGGTGCACAGTCTCCCTCTATCATGTACTTCAGCTTCAGGCTACAAAAACTGTTCTTGTCTGATGCGTAGAGCAGTGGGGCTGCCGAGGTGCACACTGCCATGATGTCAAGCCTTGCTACATTGCATCATTCTGCTGCACTCTTTGCATCACAGCCCTGGGCTGCCTGATCCCAAGCTCCATGCGGGGCTCCTTATCACACAGACTCAGGTTTCTGTGTAGGCGTGCTCTTGCAATAGCACAAGTCTGCTTTGGAGAGCTGACCATGTTCTTTAGCATGGGGCACGGCGGTGGCAGGGCTGCGAGAAACAAGCAGCAGTAGTCAGTAATCCTGTGATAGAACCATGCTGATTTCTTTAAACTCCACATCCAAGGCGAGAAAGCTGAAGGTTTGATCTGTGCAAGAACTCTGACTGGCAGACACCCGCATTTAGTTTGCACACCCAGTCACACACCCTTTCTACTTGCTGGTTCACCTGGCCAGGAGGATGTTTGCACTTCCCTGTGCGACTCCTCAGCTCACCTGGGGTTGCTGACTGTAGGGACAGAGGTCTGGTTTTCTGTGGGGCTGTGAGCTTTGCTTGGCTGCACATGCTGAGTGAAGCCTGTGAGCACAGATGAGCCCAGGCAGGTCAGCAGCCAGCTTTTGGCTCTCCCCGAAGCCCACGGCATCCTGGCCCCTGTTTTTAGGCACTGGGGTGGTGTTCTTGAACAAACCCGTCTTGGGCAATGAAGCTGAAAACCTGTGGTTTGACTCACCTGTAATTAAGGCTTAATTTAATTTGCACGCAAACTGATCTTAGTGAGTGATGAGCATAGCCTGTGCAGGACTTGTGCCTCTGTGATAAGCTGTTTATTTGTTAATTGCTTTTTATGACCTGGAGCACATTCTTTGTTAAACTTCAGGGTTTGGAACAAAGAGGAGAGAACTTGTTTCTTTACATGTCATTGTAAATCAGTAGTCAGGCGTGCTTAAAAGCTGGGCTGGACAGAACACACCATGCAAGGAAATCTTTGGGTCCTCCTGGGCTGCTGAACCGAAATCCAAATGTACAACTTGGTCAATTGTCAGAAATGCTTATTTCAGTTCTCAGAAACAAGTGCAGTGAGCAGTGCTCCAGAGATGAAGCAGAGTGATGGCAATACGCTCATGTTTGTGCAGCATTGTGTGCTGCTCAGCATTGGAAGCAAGAACCTGCCCCTTGCCTTCATGTAGCAGGGTTGCTGGCATTGCTCAGTATGTGCCATAAGTATATGCTTGTTGTTCAGTCAGTGTTTAATTACTGGGGCCCTTGCCTGACGTACTGTGTAAATTATGGGCTTTTAGGTTCCTCAGCCACATGGAAGCACTGGAGAACCATATTGTTTAGGCTTTGGGGTTGCTTCTTGCGGTTTGGTTTTGTCAGGATGGAAATGCTGATTTTAAAAAAGTAATTTGATTTCTGCTCGTTTTTCCGTCTTGTTTTTTTTTTTTTTTTTGGTCATCTTTGCTCCTTCAAAACCCAGACTATTCTCAAAGAGAAGTAACCACCCTGATCTTGAAAAGCTGAGAGGAAGCATTCTGATTTATTTCTTTTTTCCCAACAACATATTTTCCTTTCCCTTTTTCTTTATTGGTGGGATTAGAAGGGAACTCGAGCTTTCTTGAAGGCTGTTTTTATGCAGTGCACAGAACAAAGGATGAGAAGAAGCTTCCCCCAGTTCTTCTTGCCACAGGTGATAGGCTGTAGGTAAGCTCTTCTGTTTTCTTATCAGGAGAATTCACGTGCATCTTTGTTGCACTCGGCTGGCTGGCAGCGTTCTCATTTCCTAGCCACAGAATTCCTGCCCTTGCCACCTGGGGTCTCGTTTTCTGCCCAGAGGTGAGCTGTTTCCCTTCTCATTTTGCTTTCTGACACAGCAAAACAAGATGCTGTTTGGCCAGGAGAACACATGCTCTTTACCCACTGAAGGGGGAGAAAGGAAGCGGAGCAGTAAAAAGAACTGGTGAACTATAAAATACAAGAAGCCAGCAACTTTTTCCTTACATACCCCAGTTAATAATTTTTTTTTCTGTCCACGTTGCACCCAGTGTAAACGTTTGGCAGGTTGCACACTGCCCTCTCTGACCTGATGCTCCATTTGTGTTTGTATGAAGGCACTGCTGAGTTCAGATGTTCCAGCTTTCCATCCAAGCTGCAACTGCTTCCATCCATGCCATTTAACTGCTTCAGTGCTTGCTGACAGCTGGCATTGTTCTGCTTTAGCTTGGTGTTCAGGGAAGCCAGTCTTGTTGTGTTGAGGGCTTAAGCTCTTAGTTGAGTTGTGCTGATTGGATTGTCCTTCGTGGTCATGCTGAGGGCAGATGATAATCATGCGAGTAACATTAAAAATCTGCCTGACCCTGAAGGCTATTAGCTGTTGCTGCAGCTGGTATGGCTAAGCCAGGTTGGGTAGCCACTGGTTGATGTGTTTATACAGCATGGTGTCTGATTGCCTCTGGTTTCCAACCTAAATGGGGGTGTGGAGGCAAGTAGGGACTTCTTGTATGAGCAAGAGGAGATGTTGAGATCTCACACTGCTGGAGAAGTGGCAAGACATCTGCTCCATGCTGCCAGACTGTCTCCTGCAGTCCATACCTCACTAATGCCAGCACACTTCTTTTTGCAGAAGGAGTTTTCTGAGAGTGAAACACCTCAAATTCATTTTAGAAACTGCAAAAATATTTCATTTTCTTGTTTGTGTTTTACAGAAACCTGTTTCCTGCAAATCTTGTTGCTGCTGCTTTCCGAACGGTAAGAAGTGTGGGTGAATTTTGGATGCAGGCAGACCAAGTGACTTTTGCTATTAAAAAAGCAAACAAAACAAACACTTAAAAATGGTGTAGAAAATATCAAAAGTCATACTACTTCTGGTGGGTGGGACTGTTAGAAGCACCTGACGTAGTAACACAGGAATTCCACAGCAAGTGGCATGATTTGGAACAGTACTCCTCAAGAAAAAGAACATATTCATGGCCAGTGTTTTGTTGCTCCATCAGAAATGTTCTGTAGGCTGCTCCACTTAGAGCACTGCTTGGGACAATGATGGCAACTCTCTGCTTTGTGCCCAGTCGCTTACACTGTGCCATGGCTAGCTGGCAGAGCCATACATGGCTGTGTTTTTAATGTCTCTCTTGCCATTTCTAGTAGTGAAATAGTGCAAACACCACTTGCCTTCCACAGGAGGCCGTGCAACAGCATGAGGCATGAGCAAGAACAGAGTAGAGGAAAGAGGAATCCCCTTGTCTACTGCCCAAACCTGGGAGATCAGTGATCACAGGGCTCTTCTCTGTCCCCACGTGGTCAAGGAGTATCACTCTCTTTTCTTATACAAGGCAGGCTCATTTTTTCCACAGTATGATTTCCAGCAGAAGTTCTGATAGTAACCTCCTTTTTGTGAAATGCTAAGGGATGCAGTCATATTAGTAATCTGAGGTGTTGTTTTTTTTCTTTTTCTTGCAGTATGCAACAGATTATAAGATAGTGCTCAGAAACACTACCTCTGGAAATGTCACGTTGGAAAAGGTAAGGTCACTTCTTAGTGGCATTTACCTGTAACACTTTACTACACAGTCTTAGCAAATACTTCAGTTGTCTGGAACTGAGGCACACACACAAGTCAGGTGAGTTACCTGCAGTCAAACAGGAAAGCAGTGATGGATAAGAGAGTTGGGCTCAAATGAGCTGGTGCTCAATACCTGATTTTTTTAGGCCACGCGTTCTCAGACTCAGCCTCACTTGATCTCAGTATTGATTGGTCCCTCTGCCTAGGATTTTCTAATTTTCTATAGCCTTGAAATTAAGTAGCAATTAAGCTGACTGAATGTGTCCTTTAGACCTTACCCTCCCTTAACGATTTGCAGAAAATGATCTTTTTTTTTTTTAATCTTTAAAGGAACGGTAAGTTGAGAATTTTCTCTTGATGCAGAAACTTTGTGTGTGTGATTTTTAATTAGTAACAAGTGGTCTGGAAGGATACAAGTTCTAGACAGAACATCAGAAGGAGGCTGCTATTGCAGTGTGGTGAAAATTAATCCTAATGGACAGGATTGTGTTCTGTGTGCAGCTTGTAGGACTTGCAGCGGTGCTCTGTGGTCTGTTAGTGGAATCTCTCCTACAGAACAGGCCACGAAACGTCTTTGTTACTGACCAGAACCAATATATTATAGATCCAGTAATAATAACATTCACCTTACAGACAGAATGCTACAAAACTGACCCAGCATACCTGCACTGTTTCACCTCACTCCAAACAGGCTTATGTGGGGTTTTGGGGAGACAGAACTGTGATGGGAAATGGCTTTTAAGGCTATTTTGTATCTCTCAGATTCAGTCTGACTGTCTGAGACACCAGATATACTGCTTAATTTTTATTATGATTTATAAGTCTCTAGGGCATGTCTTCTGCAGTGTTTGTGTTTGCCATGAGGGGTTCAGATGGGGCTTGCCCTCTGGTTCCACCAGTCTACGTAAAAGGCAATTTGTGCACATCCAGAGGGACTGTGGAGCCAATCCCTTGGTGCAGGAGGTGCTGGCCTCGTTACCTTCTCTCCACACATAGTGTGTGAGCAGGCAGTGCAGAGCACTGTGTTTCCCAACTCTGCTCTCAGCTCATGGGCTGAACTTCTCCCAGTTCTACGGCCAGGGTGGTAGGTGGCTTTGATGGCACAACAGGAGCTGCGCAGGGGAAAATCAGTCCTTGCTTAGAAGCCTGCTATCGCATGGTGAGCGGTCTCACTGGGGAAAAAGGCAGCTGCATCTGCCCAGGCTCTGCCCATGCCTGTAAGATCACATTAGCCCAGATCTGCACGCACTCCCTCTGCCATGGATGTGTGGGAATGAGTGCAGAGCAGCCATGTGACCCCAGAAGCACACTTTCTCTTCTCGTGCTATTAAACCCTCAGGCAGTACATGCCCATGCAGCCTCGTGCTGCTAAAACCAATTTTGACATGAAAGGCTGTAACAACATGCACTTAGGCAAAGTGTGGTTGCCTACATCATGGAGTTATTGTTGATTTAAGCAGGAGTAAAGGAAAGGTGAATAAGACTCCCGTTCTTCTTCATGCCAACTGAAGGTTAGGCAGAACTTGTGGTCTTGCCAACCGAGCACAGATCAGGGCCAGCCATATCCATTGGGCACAGGCTCATCTGTTGAGCACTTGTTAAATGCTTTGGGAAGATGTAATTTTTCCTCAAGAAATAAGAATGTATTTTTTGGCAATTTAAAATGTGTGAGAATTTTTTTTTCGGTTTTTGTTTCATATTTTTATTTACCTGACAAGTTTGATGCAATACCACAAACAATATTGTGACTTTGCCACAGGTGCTTGCTTTTGCCCATGCTTATGATGTAAATGTTATTTCCCCTATTACTTTTCCAAAACTTTTTTCAGTTTGTGGTGTGGAACCAGATCTGAACTTGAATTCTAGATGCCCTCCTGTCTCCAGGGAAGAGTGGATTGAAAAAGAAAAATAAAAGAAAAAGAAGCATCATCTGAGTTCTGTTAGCTTCAGTACTGCTCTGACTGTATTATTTATGGATAGATGAGAAGTTTGGAAGGGAAGAGTATGGTTTTGGGATAATAGGTAGTTTAACAAGCCATAAAGTCTGTGATACAGAGAAGCAAGATGGTATTCCTATCTAATATTTTCTTTCATCAGTGGAGTATTTGATCAAATAGAAGAAGTATTTACTCTTTTCCATACCAATGATGAATAACAAAGCTTTTTATTGATTTATTTTTTTTTTTTTTTCCTACTAATAGGCACTGCCTTCTGTTGCTGATGATATGAGTAGAGGGGCACGTAGATTCTGCTAAGCCACATTCTTTTTTGTTGTTTCACATGCTCCCTCATGTTTACCTAGCTTTTATGGCTACATCCTCTCTCCAGGAGGCCATGAGAGACACCGAGTTCCTCCTGTGGCAGTAGTAAAAATACACAAACAGCTGGTTGCTCTTCTTCCTCACATCACGTGGCTGCATTATCTTTTCAGCCACCTACTCCTGAGTTAGCTCAATGTCAGCAGTTGTTTCCTGAATATGCATTTTTTTTTTTAAAGAGCTACAAAACAATAGGATCTTCAGAGGGATTCAAGGACCAGAAGAGGTCTGTGAATCTTTCTACCAGGACACATAATTTCAAGCAAACAATGTGTTCTATAGTTTGCCCAGCAACAAAGCTCTCATTAAAGCTGTTTTTGTTTGATGTCCACGATGCTGCTTGGTTTGGCAGCTCCTTTGGGGTGATGGACTCTTCTGTTAGAGAACAAAAAGGCTGTTCAGCATCTGCCAGTTCTTGAAGCTGGGATTGAGAGGATCTTCCGCTCAGGATTTACTGCTGGATTTCTTCCATGTTCTGGTGCAGGGAGGTGAAATTCCCTGAAGATGGTAGATTGCTCCTGAAAATTCCAGGGTGCAACTTCTGCCTAAATTTGCAGAGATGGTAGGTGATGGGGAATACTGTGTGTTTGGAAGAAATTGGCTCAAGAAGAAGAAAATGAGAGCATGACCTGAAGGTAGCTTGGACACAATGACAGTGAATAAAGTGAACCAGCTAAGAAGTTTTCGGTGGCTGTGCATAGAGTCCTTTCTCTTGTCACCAAGAACATCTTGGTCCCCAGATGGCAAGAAAAAATTGGCTTCAAGGGCTCGTAAGTGTGAGTGCCTGGAGAAGAGCAGCAGCAAAGATGGCAGTGCTGGGTGGGTGTCAGACATCTCTGAGGACAAGAGAGGACTGAACTGTGTCCTTGTTTTAGAGAGTGATGAGAGGAGGGAGTTTGAGATAGATTGCCCAGTTTATGCACAGTAGGCCACTGAATGGTAAGATGAAAGGTGAGAAACCACGTGTCCTGGCTGTATCTAACTGGAGGTTCTACTGTTCCTCACCCTCCTCTAGCTTCCCAAGGCAAAATCTGGCAAGCCTTTGGCTCTAAAGAAAGCAGAGTGACTGATGCTTGTGGGAACTGAATGAGCCAGAAGACCTCTGAACTTCTCTAATGAGGGAAATGGTGTTCCAAACTGGGCGTAAGGAGCTCTAGCTCAGTCCTGCTCCGTGTCCCTACATGCCCTACACAGCTGGTGGGAAGCTGCCTGATCCTCTTGCAGATTGAGTTGCTGTTTAGCCTTGTTCCTGGGACCAGAGCTTTGAGAAGTCCAAATGGTAGTGGGTTGCTAGGCTCCAGGCTCATGCTGCTGCATTTAATGAGCTGAGAAGAGCAGTACTCCAGCAGAAGGAGTTTAAAGGGCAGAGATGCTTTGCAAAACATTGGTATAAGTAGTGTCATGAAATTCTCCGCTCTGGTAACATCCAGGTCAGGATGCCTGGCACTTTCAGCAGCTTGAAACATTGTGTTTTTGTTCCATAGCAGGATTTTTTTTTTTAAAACTTCTCAATGAGAACCAAAACAAAACAGTTGGACCCATTATGGTGACATTGTATTCCTGGCAGGGGTTTTCATATTAGCCTTATGTCAAGTGAACCTGATATAGAACCATTAAGGTTAAAAAAGACCACTAAGATCATCATATCTGACCCTAACCCATCCCCATCATGCCCACTCAGCAGCAGTTTAACCTTCACGCTGGTATGTTTTTGTGTGTAATTTGTGTTTTGTTCCCTCCTGTGCAGTTCCTTGTTTCCACCTGTCACTTAGAGACAGTCGAGTTCAGCAGTATATTTCCAGTGAAAGAGTGATCTCAGGCACATTACTTTTATTATGATCTATAGCTGATGAGGATCTTGAGTTATTTGCTCAGTATTCATTTTAAACTTTTAGCTGAGAATGTGCTCTTCTTGCCTAGTGTTGAGTTAGTGTCTGTTTTAACCAAAGCACCGAAGCTTGTCCATAAGCCTGATCTGTTTTAGGAGCCCATCCAAATAAAACAAAAAATTGACAGGTGGAGTTTGTACCCCCAAGTTGGGGAATGAGAGTGTTTATCAAAGCAATTGTATTTTTATGAAGCCAGGAGAGTGCTCACTCAGTTCACAAGATGCTGCTTTGCCAAACGAGTCCCTGTCCTTCTTGAGAAACAAGCTGTGAGGAGCAGCAGAGCAGACTTGAGTAAGCTACATTTTGTGCATAGGTGGATTTCCTCTTTTTTTATTCCCTTGCTTGTACAGCTGAGTGATTTTAGAGAAGGAGAGCAGTATCTCTTCTGTGTGTCTCCATGGCTGATAGGGATGGATGAATGAGCAGCTTTCCACAGTTTCCTACCTTTCTCTGCCTTTTTTTCTCCTTCTCAGTTCTTTATGTTGACTGTTTCCTCATGGTTTTCACCTTGGTATGAATATTGCACTAAAGTAGTGGAGCCAGCAGTTTTTGAGAAGATTCCTCTCAGATGTGTCAGGAAAATCATAGGGTATTTGGAACCAGACCACTGAAAGCAGCTCTCAGGTACAATGTGATACTCTATGCAGTAGAATATCATAGTGCCTACAACAATTGACATCTGGAATAAGCAGAGCTAGGAAGTCAGCACAGCCAGTATCTGCCATCTGCACCCACAGTATCTCACAGACCCATCATCAAGGGGAAAGTGAAGGAAGTTTCAATCTTTTAACCATTTTCCACATTTACCCTCTGTGTGTGACTGGTATCTGTGTTGTTTCACATCTGCAGTGGAGCTTGTCCTGAGCAAACTGTGAGGTTTCCATTCAGCTTGCTGAGAACACATGCATTGTATTAGAGTATAAGGGGAGGTTGTGGCAGGCCCTTTCCCTCTTCAGTAAATCCATGCCAGCTGGAACCAAGGAAGTTTGTTCTAGGGCTAAATCCAGATCTTGTTTGGTTCCCTTCAACTGTGTAATGCATTTCCATTCTGCAGTGCAGAACTGTCTTGGGTAAAATGCTGTCCTTCCCAAAATAGGTTCTGCCTGTTGATTTTGGGTCAGCTAATAGAAACAAAACAAAGTGGCTCTTTCGTTGGGGTTTGTGCCAGTCTCACACCTACCAAGCCTTCTTATTTTGCCTCTACAGATCCCTGTTGGTACTGAGATTGAAGGGATGAATATCCTGGGGCTGGTGCTCTTTGCTCTGGTTTTAGGAGTGGCACTGAAAAAGCTTGGCCGGGAAGGAGAAGATCTCATTCGCTTCTTTAATTCATTCAACGAGGCAACTATGGTCTTGGTTACCTGGATTATGTGGTAAGTGTGGGACTGCATGTACATGTGCAATAGAATATTATGCTTAATTCAGGAATCTCACAGTTTATCCATCTCTCCAGCTTTTTCATATCAGATCCCTCGCTAGCACAAAAGCAAAGGTTATGCTGTTACTCTGCAGGGTATTTTCTGCTTGTTTCTGACCTGTGATTAGATAATCATGCCTAGCTAGGGTATCAGATAGCTGCTAAAAATCCTGTCCTGAAGTCCATTTTCATTAATTAGAGTAAAGAAGACATTTTGTTTCAAAACAACATAAGCCTGTGGCTAGCTGCCATTGTGTGCCTAATGGTGTGGGGTTTCAGTGAATAAATGAGGTGTGAGCAAGGGAGGAATGTAGCCATGTGAAAGCTAGGGATATGTGTGATTGGAGTGCATCTGCAGATGTGGTGCCAAACTGTACTTGCAGGTTCATGCCTTAATTTTTCTGTTGGTCAGATGGTTTCTTGTACTGACCTGAAGTATACCCAGTGAGATTGGACAATAGCCCCACGCACTGTTAAATGGTTTGAGAAAAACTCTGCCAAATGCAACAGTACAGAAAGTGTACATAAAGTGTCCACTTGGATGACAGAGTGACTGTTCCATGGCAATGGATGAACAGGTGATGAATAAATGAATTATAAAGTATTTATCACTCTCTTCTTAAAGCTATCATAGAAAAGCTATGAAGTTATCTTAGCAAAAGTGCATTTTCTCCATCCTTCAATTTTGATTCCAGTAATTTTCCTCCAAGAAAGAAGCAGAAATGTTTTGAGGAAAAAAAGAAAAACCCAAACTGGATTTTGCACAGGCAGATCTGTGTTATTTGCTATCCTAAAAGTCTGAAAAATGTGAAGTCTAAAAGTAGCTTATGTCTCTTACTCTAAATGTAATTCCTTGGACACTGAATGCTGATAAGAGGCAGTTCTTGTATTCAGCTGATTACAGTGCTAACGCTTCAAGCCAATTAGTTGGTATGTAATCCTTTACTATGTGGATTATTGGGGCCACAGCTGCCTCTCAACACCACCATAGCCCTTACTACTTCCTTAAGTTCCTGTGCCTTCCTGATATTGATCCAAAATATGTCAAGCTGCATGTACTTCCCAAAGGATACTTTGGAATTGGTAAAATCGTACCACCAAGAGGGGAGGCTGTCTGTGCTCTTTTGTAGTCCTGTTCAACAGCCTTTCTTGTCCTTAGCAGCACTTGGGTCTTAACTTCCATCTCTTCTTCTCCAGCCTCCCTCTTCAAAGGGAAGGATCTAGCCACAGGTTAAGTTCAGTGTTCATGTTTGCAGAGCTTGTACAGGACAGGGGCGCAGACAGACCTGGCAGATCTGGCAGAGGCTGAGAGGTGAAGTTTGACAAGTCCTTCCAGAGATTCAGCCAGTGGAGGCCAGAGCAAGGATGCTCATACTGAACTGGGACACAGTGAGGTACAGAACAGAGGAGTTACAGACCTGCTGAGGTAGAGGCAGGCTAGGAGTAAGTGGTTGATCTTGGCAGCCTGAAGGTTTGCATGTTTCCAAGCCTTTAAGTGCTTAATTAAACCTTTCGTTTGTTCTGATTCCACAGATCAGTCTTGCTGAACATAGGAGTTGTGTTATAGGGGTGAGTGGGATAAAAGCTTTCATTCCTGAGATGTGCAAGCGAATCTATTGCAGCTGTGCCTCTAGGACAGGGTGTTGGAGATCTAGCTGACATTTTAGTGTTTCTTAGTCTTAGGTGCAGGAATAGGTAGAGGTGCTCAGACATAAACTTTCCAAGTATGGCTTTGAAGGAAATGAGGTTGGCGTGATTTCCATGGTTTGCTTAGTAGCTGTTGTGCTGCATATGCAAGGGCAATTCCAAGCCAGAGGTGTGGCTGTGACAAATGCAGCCCTTCCCCCTGGAGCAGTTCCAACCGTTTCTGACAAAGGAAATGTCAAACAAATGCTGACTTCCTGAGACATTTCTAGATAGGAGAGGTGGAAAAATGCATACGTGGCTGTTGACTTGGGGGAGGCACTGGAAGCCTGGTCATTGGACTTAAATTACTTGCTTTCTTTGTCAAGTGCATCAGCAGCCTTTAGCTGAGTTCTGCAGTATGGCTCTCTAGTATAGGGATAGCTTTTTTTTTTTCCTGCACAGACTGTGTTGGCACCCAGTATGCCCACCATTTTAATGACCTGACTTTGTACTTCTGCTGGTGGTCACAGACTGCATAATATGCCACTCTTCCACTCCTTTCTTTGCTCCTGTCACGTGCTTCTTTTTCTTTCCTAACATCTGCCTTCCCTTCAATAGCAACCTCGATTTTTGGGGATTTGCCTGCCTTCTTCCCCAGTGCACTAAAAGGCCACCTGAGTATCATGTTCCAGTAGTTTCAGCCAGCGCTTCTACTTCTTGCCTGGATTCCTTTCTTCATTGCTCTAGACATCTCTTTCAGTGTCTGGGAGATTTTTCTTTTTTTCAATTTGACTGTTTGCCTTCCACCAAGCAAACATGTAAAGGAGGCCTTCCAAACTTGTATAATCTGAGTGTGTGGTAAGTAAAGTGCTGACCCTCAGTAGGAGTGGCATGTTCTTTAGAAGAGCATTATCTCTAGAAGAGAGAACATGTTTTTCAACTTTTTTTTCTTTACACTTCATGACAGCCCGTATTTGTTTATGCAGGTATGTACCTATTGGTATTATGTTCCTTGTCGGGAGCAAGATTGTGGAAATGGAAGATATTGTGCTTCTGGTGACCAGTCTGGGAAAATACATCTTTGCCTCTATTCTGGGCCACTTCATCCACGGAGGGATCATTCTGCCACTCATTTATTTTGCATCCACACGTCAAAATCCGTATCGTTTTCTCTTAGGACTTATCACACCATTTGCCACTGCTTTTGCCACTTGCTCCAGGTGGGTGTTTCTTTGGGGAACATATGTGTCTGGGAATATACATTGTAATTGTCACTATAAACTGCTTATATCTTAATAACAGAACGTGTTTAGTTTTAGGTGAAAATATTTCTACAATTGCCAAACGAGGCGACTGAGCATAGAGCCTCACTGCTCTCAGCAGCCTGCTAGGCAGGAAATGCTTATAATTAGGTGTTAAAAACAATTCCTCAAGGTATTGATATTGTGTAGCATGATGCGAAGTTGGAAATTTGGGGAGGGAGAGGTGAAAGCATTTGTCTTAAGATCTTGCCAGCTTTCAATTTTAAGTAAAGCAAGGGGTCGGCAGTGAGGGAGTTTGTCCTGAGAAGTTTAGTTATCCAAGTTCAGCAGAATCTGGAACAACTTGAGCCTGATTCTGTATGAGCAAAGCAGGTTTATTAGCTAGCGTAAAGTGACTCAGCATTTTTTATTTCACAGCTCTGGCCTTATCAGCTTTTATTTGTTGTAAAGAAAGATTGCCAAATTATCAAACATGTCATTTAACCTTTTCCCAAGAGGCTAACTCTGGACCAAAGATCATGAATGTATAAATGAAAATATAAAAACATTCTGAGTCATTTCCAAAAGAAGCAGACACGCAGCTATCACAGGAGCTGAGTTATGTGTGAAGTAGGAGAGGGTTTGTGAAGGAAGCCATACAATTATATAATGCAAGAAATAAATCCAGCAGTGATTGTTTCACTTGCCTGTCCATTTGAGAAGGTAGTAGTACAACATCAAGAAATTACTGTTGCAACAGCTGTATTTATATTTGCATGTATTGCTGTGTTTTTTGTGTTTTGAGACCTTATCATTCCACATCTGTGTTAGACTGCATACTGTTAGGTCATGAGTTTTTGCATCTTGGAGGTTAGAGTCCTTACCAGCTATTTCTGTTTAGGAGATGATTGTTGAATACTGCTATTCAAGACCAACAGGGAGGGAAGTAGCTATCATGACTGAGGGGCTACAAAGTGACATTGCCATCTTGACATGCTCTTGTGCAGCATGTGAGAAGCACGACAGTCATGAGGCAGCAGACCTGCTACTCAGCACCCCTGGTGCTTTGTGTTTGACTTCTTCCTTGCTCTGTTTTCCTAGCTCAGCCACTCTCCCGTCGATGATGAAGTGTATTGAGGAAAACAATGGAGTAGACAGCAGGATCAGCAGGTTTATCCTTCCTATTGGTGCAACTGTGAACATGGACGGAGCTGCTATTTTTCAGTGCATGGCAGCCGTGTTTATTGCTCAGCTGAACAACGTCGACCTCAACGCTGGGCAAATCTTTACCATTCTGTAAGTTGCTTGTTATTGTAACCACATCCTTCTGGCCCCCAGATGCATTAAAGCCTGTGGTCTCCCTGTTAATAGCTAGCATTTATAGTTTGCATTCCATGTCTCTGACTTAAAGCTTGCAAACTGCTGTGAGGCATAATGATAGGGTGATTAAAGGATGCAGTCTTTCAAGCTTTATAAGATTGACCAGAATCTCTGTTTAATAAAAGGTGGAACCTGGGAGGAGTAACGAAATTATGAAGCAGACTTTGAACTGTTTAATGCTGCTCCTCACATTGAATTCCTCTCCTTACTTAAGGATCTCCTCCCACTCCACTTGTCATTAAGCTGGGTGATTGTGGCATGCTGCACTACCAAGAATGCTACCCTCCGGATGTCCTAGAAAATTCTCCTGCCAGCTCCCCAGTTCCTTTTGTTTCAGTTTCATACTCAAGACTCTGCTCCTGCATACCTCTCTGCCCTTACTACCACTTCATCACTGGTTTCCCAGGTCAGACCCATGATCATCCCTCTTCTGATCATTATGCTTTTCCCCATTGTACTGTACACTGCCTTAGTCCTGCTTCTTTCCCTAGGACTCCCCCCTCTATGCCTGGAACATCCTTGCAGGTCCAGTGAATGTGCCATCCTCTTTCATTCCCTGCCCAAAATCCAATAAGTGAGGATCTTAGAAGGAGTTTTAGCCTTTCACTGTGCCAAGAAGTCAGGACTCTATCCACCATGTACCTTCTTACATTTCCTACCTTCCCCACCCAGGTTTTATTTCCTTCTTTACTGCATTTCTCAGTATATTGTTTGTCTATTTAAGGCAGGGCTGGAATATTATTTTCTTTGCAGATGGCCAAATTAGCTTTTCATGTAATCATAGCAAGTCAAGTGTTGACACAAGCCCTAGAATTATCCTAGAGTGATAGCTCAAGGGAAAAACAGTTGCAGACATCTTCACACAAAAAGCTGTGTGATTCATGTCTGTTGCACGTGCACTGCTTAAGGATATGTTTGAATGCAGGTGAGACACAAAGAAGGGACAGTGCTGTTAGTATGCCTCTATGGACAGCATACTTGGACTTTTGAGGCTAGATCTTAAAGCACATCAGTCCTGCTTAGCACACAAGTTTTCATGCTTTGGGCAGAGCTTCAGCACAGTCCTGGCTCGGCAGTGGGGTTGTGCTTCTTCCTGTTGTGAAGCTAGGTTGGCATGCTTTATCCTCTGTGCATGGCACAGTTCACCTTTATACATTTGGGGAGTGAAGAAAACATGTATTCAGCATCTTTGAACCAATGTATGACTTGGAAATGGATGTGATATTAACATAGTGAGAAATGATTTGGGTTTTTTGTTTTGTTTTGTTTTTTTCCTGTTCTGAAATGTTATTAAAGACAGAACTGTTACCTTGGTAGCTGCCGTGGAGCCTGCTGAGCAACTGTACTCTATATCCATTACTGTGCCTCAGCTGGCAGGAAAGGATTTGCCTGGGAAGCAAATGATCTGTGTGTCCCTTGCTGTGGAGTTTGTTTACAGTTCCTAAAGTAGGGAAATGTGTGACGTAAATGTAGAAGAGGAGTGCTGCAGGGCTCCTACTAACCAGAAACAAATTGATTTGCAGTGTCACAGCAACTGCATCCAGTGTGGGTGCAGCTGGGGTTCCAGCTGGAGGAGTCCTCACCATCGCTATTATCTTGGAGGCCATTGGACTTCCCACCAACGATCTCTCCTTGATATTAGCAGTGGACTGGATTGTGTAAGTACTTCAGACCACGTGCATGGGCTGTTACATGATATATTCAGCTGGAAACACGGTTCAGGATAGTCCAAGTGTAGTATAAAATAAAACCCTACTAGGTGTGGCTCTCTGTAGGATGGGAAGCTCATGACAGGTGATGGAGAATGATGAATATGGTGGTTCCTACTCAGTTAAGCAGTTGGTGTGCTAAAAACCCCGTTCAGTATTTTTTACTGAGACATTCAGTCATTACTGACTTCAATTTCAAGTTTCAATTCCCTCCAGAGGATTAAGTTTGTTCAAAATATTGCTGGAAATTAGTTGGATATGAAGAAGGAAAGGAGAAAAGGAAAACAGCCTGAATAGTGATGGAAAACAGATGTGTGAAGCAACCTTCATCAGAAGCAGTTGCCAGCTGTTGTTTGAACTATAACAGCAAGAGACCAGTCGCAGCAACCAGCACAAGTGTCAGAGCAGGGCAGGTACACAGAGGGCTTGCAGCATTCATCACAGCTGTGTTTGGTGTCCTGGCTGGAAGATGTTTCTGGGAATTGCGAGATCAGTACACAGTATTACCACCTTTCCTTTCCATCTTCTGGGAAAGGTCTAGGAAGTTAGACCTTTGCTTGGTTCCTTCTCCCTTTTCCAAGAACCATTTTCCTCCTTGAAACATGAGAGATTATCTCCTTGCCTGGCTCTGTTTGGAAGAGCCTATTTCACCATTCATTTTAGTTATGTCCTCATTAAAGCCTAAATTTACCTTCTATACCACCTAAATCAGATTAAGCAAAGCCTAGAAATTTTGCTTTAAGAATTGGGGACCTAGCCATTAGTACATGATGAGAGTAAATGCAACATGCAGATGATTTCTTATTGCTTATATGAGCTCTGTGGAAAAGGGGCTCCCAGTTCTTCTCAAACAAGCCTGTCTGTCTGTAGTCTCCAGAAATACTAAGAAATTGAAAGTTTGTAGAATACTGAAAAAAAATCAAAGTGGAAAGGCTCTTCTGAGCACTCAACGTGCCTGCGCTTTAAATACTGGTGAATTATGCTCGATGTGAAAATTTAAAAGCACACACTGCTTTTAGAACATCTGGTTGGGCAGTGGGCTGCAAGTGCTGGTCAGTAACAGTCAGACAATCTGAATCCCCCTTGAGATTTTTTTTTTCACTTAGCAGTTTTTGGGGATGCTTTGTGATTTAGGCGTACATAATCTTTGCCTCTCTCTGTAAGGATGGACTACTCTCACAGAGGATGAGGAAATTAGGATGTGTGAGGGCAGTCTGGAGTTTCCAAGGCTGGGTTAGAGGGCAGCTCTGTTACCTCCTTCCCTTCCCACACCAACACACATCTATGATGCTCATTGCATAATTCTTTCTTGCTGTCACCACTTGGGTATCAGCCACCACAGGAGAGACAGGCAAAGCAGTGGCCATCCATTCGTGTTCCATCTTCCTGAGGGATTACAGTGCTAGTTGTGCTTTCCATAAGCTGTATGTATTCAGAACTGTGTGGTTGCATGAGTGAAGTTTGCAGCTTGTTTCTGTCTGGATTTCCCTTAGCCTGTGTCATGCTGGCTGCCTTCTTTTAAAAATATGTAGTATCCCTCTGTGGTCAACAATGTTGTTCTAGTTCAGGAATTCAGTCTTGTGGTAACAAAAATGGGGAAGAGGGACAGAAGAGTCCTTTATCTTGTTTTAAAGCCAGACATTTAATTACCAAAGAGGATCACAGTTACAAATTAAGCACATGCTGCAGAATGACTAGCAGAAATCTCAAGAGGCACATGAAGAAATTGTTCTTTGAGTTATAACCCTCCTCTATTCAACTCTGAAGCACACTAGTATTGCACTGTAGAACTAAAGATAGGAACAGATGCTCATAGTGAGAAAGCCAGGGGACATAGTCATTCTCTGCTATTGAGAACTATTTCTTAAATAGTTAAGATACTAGATTTTCTATAGTTTAAAAAAAAAAAAAAAAAGTTGAGTGCTATGAATTGTCTTCTGGATAAGCCTAAAGGAAGTTCCAGGTCTGAACTTGCATTTGAGGCATGCTGGCCTGGAGAGGGGGAAGAAAGCAGGCTGGGAAAAGAAGGATGTCTGAGGAAAAAGTAATAACATTACAGCAACCTGCTGAGAAACCGGATCCAGCTGATTGCAAGAGCTGGGAGGCTTGAACCAGTTCCAGTGCACAATCTTAGTTCTGAAACGGGAATGATATTTCTGTGGAAAATACCTGTGGGTAACAACATCTTCCTTCTCTAGGTCCAGCAGTATTGGTGGATCTGCAGGGAAGAATTTGGCCCCACTTATTGTGTTGTAACACTCTTAAACTAAAAGGCCACTTTGTTTGTTTTTAACCTTAACCAGGGACCGAACTACCACAGTTGTGAATGTGGAAGGGGATGCCCTAGGAGCAGGTATCCTCAATTACCTGAATGAAAAAGAAAAGAGAGGAAAAGAGCAGGAGCTAAAAGAAGTCAACGTGGAAGCAGTTGCTAACAGCAAGTCTGAAGAGGAAACGTCGCCGTTGGTAACCCACAAAAAACAAGTCTCCAACACAACCAGTACATCAGACCCTGAATCCAAGGAATCAGTACTGTGAACTAGAAGCTGTTGGTCAAACACGTCTTAGAGGTGGACCAGGGACTTGTTAATGCACCTAGACGTTTGCAGTGCTAGCAAGGGCTGGGCAGCTCTTGAAAATTTTCAGTTCCAGTCTGTTTTGAAATTTGCTGGCTTGGGGAAGGGAGGGAGGTGGGCTGGGAAGAAACGGGGTGGTGAGAAAGAGCACACACTTTGTAGTAGTATTTTGATAATTCATCTGTGTACCTGTATATATGTGTTGCACGTACACACGTATACATGTATACATGTAGGCGAAAGCAATGCCAATTGAAATGTCTGGTTTTACAAGAGATCTCCTAGTGAAGGCTTATGTGGGTTGGATATGGGGAAGCAGCCAACCCAATGAGTGCTTATGGTAGGGAGAAATTAGTAAGCTTATTGTGCTGCTCTTTGAATGGAGATACAGTTCAGAAACTCCACAGTGCGTGAGAATGTTTCTTAAGTTTAGTTTCTGTCCTGGAAACTCTTACTGACAATTACACAATATGGAGCAACATTTTTCTCCCACTCCCCTTCCTCTGCTGTTCTCTGATCACTTAAAAACATCAAATATAACCTAGGAAGTAGGGTGTTGCTTTTTTTTTTAGTGTCGTAAGTGAACAAGGAGGTCCAAATCTTATTCCATTCCCCCGCTACATTGCAGTTTTCTTACCTTTTGGTGAGTAATTCCCAAACTCTGGGACCAGACAAAGGAGATATTTGTGCAGATCAAGGGCTGGCTATCTCCTCCCCTCTTAGCAAGCTGTTGAGAAAAAAAAAAATCCAGAGGAAACACGAATTTTGTTAAAGTGATCCCTCTGGGGCTAAAAAAAAAATGTGGAGTCTGTTCCAGTATAAATATCTCTAAAAGAAGCTTGTCTGTGACAACATCAAGAAGTCAGTTCCCTTCGTGAAAACACACATGCACGTTTGCTAGCACGCCATGTCCTGCTTATGTTTGTATAATGGGTCAGTCCAAACAAATTAAGTCATATCCCTTTTCCAGCAAAACTGTGCAGGAGAAAAAAATGTGAATACACATGTGGGAACTGACAATAGGCAAGCCTGATTGTTAGCTTGAAAGGGGAAAAAAGGAGGTGAATTTCTAACCTGATGTAGTTCAGTGATCTCTGATCTCTGGGACAGCTGTATACTCATTCCTGCTAGGAATTTGGTCCTACTATAAATCCTTTTGGCAGCAGTTTACATTTAATTCTACATGGTGCTGGGCCAGGGTAATGCTTAATAGCAGGTGGTAGCCTTTGCTTGGGGCTGACCCAGGTGCTTCTGGATTCTGACTCCACCTTTTTCCTCTACCACATGCTTCCTGAATTTGCACTCCCCCAAACTTGATCGAAGTCCAGCAAACATTGCAAAACTCCTGTTGATTTCTCTTGGCATTTTGGTCAGGAGGTAGTTACAAAGTGATGGCTGTGCATATATGCCAAGATTTGCCCTGGCCTCGTGGCACTATCCCTTGGCTACTTTAACAAGGTGAGTGCATGTGGTCAGTCCTCCACGCTGTAAACTCAGCAACATATATTTACAGTTTGCTTTGGTATACAATAATGATCAGTCTCCCCTTGTTTTTTTTTCCCTGTTGCTTCAGAGGAAGCTATCTTGAAAAGGTATCCGGGTGCTGATGTTTATGATCATGGCATTAGGAAGAGGCAGCTCCAATTTTATAGCAGCAGCAGCAGCAGCCTTCATTTCCAAAGCATCTTTCCTGGTAAAGGGACTCGATGAATTTTGCTAAAAGATGCTCAGAACGAGATGTGGCCACCTCTGAGGGAGAACACAGTGAGTGTGTCATTACTGGCTGTTTAATTGTGTGCAGCAGCCCTGTGCAATTGGTCAGCCCACTGGAAAACTGCAGGTGGAGTTTCTTTTTAACCAGTTTATTTATAATCATGTCCACAAAATTTGATCAGTCCTCGTCTTGTTTTAAAAATGAAAGGAGACAGTCGTTGTTCTCTAGGGCTCTCCTCTGCTCAGTATTTAGTATTTCATTTTAAGCACATCAGAACCTGCGGAAACTTTGCATTTCCTCCCATTAGAGTCATCCCAACTCCTTGCAACTCAGGAAACCAGAAGCAGGCTTTGTAGCTGGCAGTGAGAGTCCTCAAATGAAAGGTATTTTGATAAATGTTGGAGGTTTTAAAAAAAAAAATAATCAGGGTTCTCATCAACCCTCTCTTTTATAAGAAATATTCAAAGATTCATGGAAAACTTTGACTGCACCAGAACGCCAGAAACCATGGTTTTAAAACAGTATGTGGATATTTTGAGGGGAACTGCAAAACACAACTGTTCCCTGCAGGCTGGGTTCTGTAGTTGGATTTTTATCTCCCATCAGACATTTAGCTCTTTTGATGCTTTCCCTCACCATGACACATGCAGTTCAGTTGAGGTCATGAGAGCAGGCAGCACCCAAGTGAACTGTCACGGCAGGATTTGAGAAGTGAATGTTTCTCAGTTTTGATTTTTCGCCCCAAAGCTGATGTTGCCGACAGATAGAAGTACTCATAAGGAGTTTGTCCAAAGGCTGGGCTTCTTCACAGGCACCACCTAGCCACTGCTCTGCTGATATTCCTTCCCTGTGGTGCTGCCACTTGATTGTATGTTTTCCCTCTAGCAGGATGCTGTGGGATGTTCTTTCTGACAGTAGATTCCAGAAAATGATTAAATTAAAGCCAATTATCTCTGATTTGTCTTAATATTTTTCACTAGCAATGCAGAATGTGAACATCTTTGCTGAAGAATGCCTCTCCCAGTCCCTGTTAGATGATTGTCATGCTTTGCATCAGTGTGAGTGTGTAGTCCCATGTAAGGCTTGTTAGAGCATTTGGGCATAAGGTCAAGCACTCCCATAGCTGGAATTTAACAAAGGAATTTTAACACTCCTCCTGGAAACAGGTGCCATAGGGTCTATACGAGCCATTAAGTATTCAGAGCCAGTCTTCTTAACCTGCCACAAATCTGTAAGATTACAAAAGCTCTGCTTTAGACTCAAAAAGCTGCCAATTCTCTTGTTGTTTGCACACAGTGAGAGGATCCCACAGTTTTCTATGGAAACACAAATGTCGGGTAGTGACTGCTTTTCAGAGTACCTTACTGGTCTTGTTTGTATTGTCTGTGTCAGAAATTACATTTCTTGTTTTTCTACGATGTTACCATTGCATTTGATGGCCATGCCATGTCTTCTAGGGCTCTCTGCTTGACTTCAGATTATTTTTTTGATAAGGTACAAATGTAAAAGATCTATTATTGTACTCTCCTGGACTGTATTAAAAAAAAAAAAAAAAAGTGATACCTACCAACAGCTGCTCTCGTAAGAGTGTGAATCCTGATTGAAAGCCCAGTGAGACAGAAGACTTGCCATTTGCTTCCAGTGGTCAAGGTCTTCAGGTAAGGTCACTGGGAGAGAAATAGAAGGGCTGTTGAAGGTTGTGCGTTTTTCTGTGCTATTTGGATGCAGTCCTCAACCTGCACTGTTGCCCTGGGATCTTCCTATTTCAGGTCTCCATGCAGCCTCATACCAAGAGGCTGCAAGCTGACCAAGAAGGTGCTGCTCAGCAGCAGCACAGGTGCAGCTATTAACACCTGCTCTGTGTTTACCCAGGAATTCCATGAATCTGATGCCAGTATGGTACTGAACTCCAACATCTGTTGACTAGGCATATGTTTGAGTTCTCCCAACTTGACTGTAAAGTGGAAATTTTTAGTCAGTTGCTTTTGATTTCAGGAGGAAATAAATTCAATCTAGATAATGCTGGTTTTCTTTTTTGGCTTTAGACTTTCTTTTGGAAAATACAAATCCTTTAATCCCTTCTGGTGTTTTCCTTAAGGTATCCACATCCCTTGGAGATTGTGCACTGCCATTGCCTTTCCTGCTGCAATTCACAGTCGTTTCACTTTTAGACTTCTGTTGGGCATATGACTTGGGTTCAGGTGTTATTTTTCCTTCTTAATAGCTGTTTCTCGTAAGAGGAGCTCCAGTCACATCCTCTCAATGCAAGGGGACTACTAGAGGCATCTCCTTCTGTATAAAGTTAGTTACCACCATGGAGGCCTTTGTGGTGTGCTGGTGAAACTGAACTGGGAAAGAAAATTCTAGTGTTATTAGTCAGAAAGGGTGGATATGCATACACAGCAAGCTGTGGTCAGAAAAGCCTCTTCGTTTTAGGAAAGTAGGCTACAAACAGCTTGTGTCCTATCCTCTAATACTGTGATTGCATTTTGGGAGAAAATTACAGAAACATGGAAAAGTTTGTAAGCCCTGGGCGTGCCCAATCCCATTTCGTCTCAGACCTTATTTTTTTACCTTCTTTATTTCAGTGATGTGTCTTTGACTGTTTGGGACCATCTCTAATTTCTTCTTTGAGACTGAATTTCCTCTCTGTTATTTATCAGTCACTGACTCATCTCCTTGCTTTGTCTGCAGTTCCCTAGCTATTTTTATGTGTTGATGGATCAGTGGACATAGTTTTGAGTTGGATCAGCTTCAGCTGGTCCTTAGGAATGCATTTTGCCCTTACCTCACCAAGGATTAGTGAGACCTAGTAACTTAGAGAGTTGCTTTGAGTGTGCTGAGCGGCATCTGTCATCCTGAGAAAGGTGCTTGCTTTGTGCTGTGAGACATGGCTGTTGAGGCCTGACTGGCTCTAGTGAGCAATGAAGGGTGCCAGCACATGGTTACTGTTAGAATATGTTCAGTAGACCGGTATTCCCAGGAGCAGAGCTTTAGCTGGGTCCCTGCTTGCACACTGGTAGTTGCACTACAAGATTCAGTAATTGCAAAGGGCTTTAAACCTCTATTGGGATGTCTCTTGCAAACTACAAACCAGGGTTAAACACAGGGCTTTTCCTGTAGCAATGTGACAATCAGAGCTGTGTCCTTTTGGCATAATAGAAGCAGGGAGCCAGCCAGGGTACAGGAGCAGCTGGTAAAACAGCTTCTGCTTTGTCTGCTGGGCAGCCGTGTTACTACCAAAGAGGCCATGCTCTGAGCTGGACACAGTGGGAGATTGTCAGGGTAGTTTTGTGTGTTTGCTCTGTTTCTGTACTCTTCCCTGAGCATTTACTCTGGCTGGAGCAAGAGATGGGCATGACCCAGTGGTGACCATTTTTAGATTAATTCTCTTGTGTGTGAAACCAGATGTTTGGGCAGTTTGATGAAGAGAGACTTTCTGCTTTTAGTCAAGTGAGAGGCCCTGGTATCTTTGTGACTGCCCATTCTGCATGTGTTGCAGGATGCTTCCTTGAGGGCTTGCCTAATGTACAAAACCACTGCTTCTTTCTGCAAAGATCTGTAGCTCTGATTAACACTCCAGACTGAATTTTCAGTCCTGTCTTCTGCGAGCGCTGCACATTTCTTCAACTCCTCAAAAGCACTCTTCTGTTGGAAATCATGAGCAACATGTTTCAGATAGGAAGTCAAAGGATCAACACTCAAACTCTCACCAAAGAGGAATGTCACGTTTTTGTGGATTTAAACTGGGCAGCTTAAAGTACTTGCAGACCTGCCTGTAATGACTGCTACTGTGAGTGATGAACAACTCAGAATTAGGCAGGTTGCACAAATCCTCTGCTTGCAGTTCATTTCCTATAGATGACCTTTACAGGTACCATTCTCTCACAGAAAATAATGTGGAGGGTAGTGAATCACGGTGTTTGTGAAGCACTCTTAAGGTACTGTGCACTAAATCTTGGATAATAATGAACTTATCAAAAACTCTGAAAGGAATCAAGTAATTGTAGTATGTATCATTAAGTCAGAGTTGCATTGTGCTGGCATGGATGACTGGATGATCAGAGACCCAGTGTATGCATTTGCAGGAAGAAGAGTGGGAGCTGGTGTCGGTGAGTTGCTCTGCTGTCTGCCTCCTTCCATCCTTCTGGGATGCCATGAAAGTCCAGGCTTAGGTAAAATAACAGACATCATAGTGGATTCAACACCTAAATGGGGAGCCTTGTCAGCTTAGTTTCTGCTTAGTTTCAGTGGAAGAGCTTTTCAACTAACAAAACAAGTTGTCTTATGGCAGTACGGGGAAAAGGTGGGGAAAAATGAGAATGGCAGGCAGATCAGACAGGATAAGTGGGTAATGGATAAAGCAGCTAAGGCTTTGAAGGAAGCATCTTTCCCTTGGTGTTTTGATATGGATATCATCAAAAAGACTGCACACATTTGTCCTGCATGGAGTGGGGACAGTGCAAATCCCCACCTGCTAACTGGCCAGGTGTTACAGGGAGAGGCAGAGATCAGTGCTGGTGCTGTTGAAGTGTACTGTCACTGAGCAACAAGTAAGCATCAGCATGGGGCTCTGATAAGCTGCTCTTGGCTGCTGGCCACGATCACAGAGAAATAAACAGCACAGCTCTGGATCAGGATTTGACCCACATTCCTCCTTGCAGTGTAGCTCAGTGTATGCTTCTCGGATAGCCATTATTCTATGAGGACAAAGAAGACCTTATTATCTAGATGGGCACATCGGTGAGAGCCATGTTCACTTGCTGCTTCAGGGGACAGGGAAAAGGATAAGGCAAATGGTCTTAAACTTTTCCAAACGTTGGGCAATACACTGTGACAGTTGGCACTAAATATTTTAAGTCAGATGAAGAGTGATTAAGGGCCTTATTTGGATTTCACAGCTCCCTGTTATTGCATCTGAGCACTGTCTTGGGAAGTTAATGTTAACAGAGTGTTTATTCTCTTCTTGGGGTCTTACATTTTTGACTAGCAGGCACTATTTCACAGTTCAGCAGTGAGTGTAGGCAGAAAAAGGAAAATGCTTCTTTGAGTCATCAGGCAGTCTAGGAGCAGACTTCAGATCCTGAAACCAAGGCCATTGTTAGCTAACAGTCATCTCCCCTGTAAAGGTCCACATTCAGAGGTTTATAAATACATTTGGGTATTGATATCATATTATTAATAGCATGTTAGTGCAGGATTGTGACTCATCTTTTTTGGCAGGATGGAAGAAGAGAACTCTCCTGTAGGAGAGTTATCTTCTCTCTAGGATGACTTTTTTTAGTAGAAAAAGAACACTACTTTTCCATTCAAAGAGCCTCAGCACCAACAGGTACATCATCCTCAACAGCTATGAAATCTGACTTGGATTTAAGCACTGATCTCAAAGGCAACAGGAGGTGATAGCTCTGAACATTTCAGCAGCCAGCTGCTCTTTCTTGAAGTCCTGCCCAAGAGACATTTATAATTGTCTTCCCAAAGGCAAGGCAAACAAGCATACTGACAGGAACTACTGTGAGGAAATGAATTTTGAGCCAGCCCTGTTGTAATGCAGACTTAATGGTGTGGTTTTAAGATGTGGAGAGTACGGAGAAGTTCAGTATGAGATGTTCCTTGAGGTAGCTCTCTCTTGGTCGTTATCTTAACAACACTCTGGTGTTGTTAACATACACTTTGCAGGTGTGCATTTAGGAACTGAAATTAACTGCATAGGTGATGTCAGTACAACTAGATTTCTGTTACACATTGCAGAAAGGGGTCTTTTCTGAAGGAAACTGTTGCCACATGCCTGAATCCCCTGTGCTCCCCCAGAAATAATTGTACTTAACCATGAAAGTACCCCGAGTATTAACTGCTACACACTGTAGCTTTTTAAGATCCTGAAGGAATGCCACAAAATGGATGAGCCAGGTCCTTTGTTGATGTGCATTAACGTGATTTCATGAAGCTTTCAGTGGCCTGTGGACTTCTGGTGGAATGGCACTCTCTGGCAGGATAGGGGTTTGAATTGGTTCTCTTTTAAAAACATAATGTTCTTGAAAATGCCCGGTAAGTTGGAACTTGTTGGCTATAGCTAGAGGCATTTTATGTGCTCACAGTGTTCTCATGAATTAGTGCCTCCCATAAGATAAATGTGTTTTCTAGATGGCCATGTTGATGTAGAATCAAGGCTTCCTGATGTTTGGGTCGGTTTTCTTTCTCCATATCTCTCTTGCATGTTCTGCTGTGGTCCTTGGAATTTGCTGAGACTGCAGCAGGACTAGGCTTCTAGAGTACCTGTGCTAAACTTAAACATGTCCTGGCCTCCTCTGAGGACACAGACCATCTCACATCCTTTTATGGGGGGGACGAAGACGATTTTAACTTCGGAGGAAGAGCTGGAACTGAAAACAAGCCTACTTCAAGGCAGTACCTTAATAGCATTTTATCTAATCAGTCCAATAGCCATGACCAAGCTGCCGAGCTAGCCTTGACTGCCTCTCTGGTCTTACCCCATGGTAGATGCACTGTTGGCATTACTTCCCCAAGGAGCAATGTGGAAGTAATGTGTTCCCCATCCCTGAATGTTCCTGTCTTTTAAGAACATAGTCTTATCAGACCTTCTCTGTTACTATCCTGGCTGCACTGTAAGGTCGCGCACAAAGCTCGCGCTGCACAGGATGGAGGCTGTATGTAGCACTAGGATAGCTGGGTGAACCTCTGCTGACTGCAGCTGGGTCTTTCCTGAATTGCTGCTGCTTTATGGCAGATTGAGACCGACTCACTCACACATAGTGAGGGTGACAATTCTGATGAGCCCTCTGGATTCAGGGCCAGCAGGTCCACCCCTAAGACACAAGGCGTCTGTTGCTGCAAGATACATGATCTGCCTTACTACCCTTAAAGGTGCCTTGTTTGGCTTTTCAATATAACTATGCACCAAAGGCAAGAGACTCTGTTATCCCTGCAGACAGGAGGGAGAACAAGGATGACCTGGCGTGAAACAGACAGGGAAAGTGAGTTTCTTTTCTTTATCCTCTAAGTTTTCTGTTGGCAGTCCTGCCTCTGATGCTCTTATGTGTATGTGCTTTTATTTCTACCGGAGCATAAATCACTCTAAGTAGGAGGGAGGATTCTTGTATTTTTATATGCTGAGCCATTTGATTGATTAATTTAATAAAGCGACACACAGATGAACTCTGAAATTCACTGCCATCTGCTGCTCCAGTTCAATCCAGTATTACTGATACAAAGGTACCTGCCTCCAGAGAAAACCTAGCGCTGAAAGCACTGAGAGTAACCACTCCATTGAATGAATATGCCATGTGGGTGTGTTGATGCTTGTGAATTTCTGTAACTGTTCTTATTTTAAAGCAATGGGTCTGATCTGTGTGACTCTGTATCAGCTTTTTTAATATCTGCCAAGACCAGATGTACGTGCATATATGCAAAAAGGCCTGTATTGCTGTGGATGGGGCTGTGTGACCCTGGGGTAGATTAATATTACAGATGTTTACTGTGTAGTACGCTGCTCTTTGGTGCAGAAATTCTCCCTGTCTGCCTGGGAAGAAGGCAGTGCTGTGGCTCAGGCTGAGATGGCTTGTGGATTAGGAGGGTGGCACAACAGGGCGCTCTCTCTCTTTTTCCCTTCTGTTATGGAAATGTTTATTTGTTCTCTCTTTGTGTAGCTTCTCAAGCTGAAATAAAAATCACCCCAAATAGAATTCATGTTTTGGCCTTTGTTTGGTGAACTCCTAGACTTGTAGCTGCCCTGGGTGTTATTCTGGGCTGGGATCCTGGGCTCTGTACTGATGCTGTCACCCAAGCAAGCTCTCTGTGACTCCTTTGCAGAACGTATTTTTTGGAGATATGCATTATTGTGCAGCAAAAGGGCTGACAGCCTGATCTGTCAACTAACAGACTTTCTTCTTTGGAGAGAGGTTGAGAAGTGGGAGAAGTCATGTAGCAATCCTTTGGGATACATTGGTGAGTTTAAGGTAAGTTTGCATTTGACGCACATGGTCGTTCTGATCGGTGTTATAGCTTCAGAGGGCCTGGGTTTGGTACTGAAGTATTTTTTTAGTACATTTCCATTAAAAGCTCACAGGGTACATCTTACAACGAGGTGTGCTATGCAATATATCACAAATCCTGATAAAAAATCTACTATATAAGTGTATTTTGGTTTGTTTCAGGCACCAAATTCTGGTCCTAGAACTAAGAAATGAGAGTGCAAATCTACAAGAACCGCAAGCCCCAAAAGAAAGACGTATAAATTCGTGACTTAAAATCATAATGATACTGTGTGGATTTTAGGAATCTATGAATGTAATGCTTTCCAAAAAAGCCTATCTGATCCTAAGGTCATATCTCTGTTTTTTCTGCTTCCCTGCTGACACTGCGAGCGATACCTGGAGGAACATGGGACCAGTGAGCTGGCAGAGAAGTGCTCTTGCACCTTGGTCACTGTCTGTGCCGGTGTCAGCTTTGGACACAGAGATGGCTGCTGCCTGAAACGAGCAGGTTTCCTGAGGTAAGTGCTGTCGGAACTGTAGTGCCTGACCATTTGAAAGACACTAAGCTTTACCAGACCTGTGGAAAGGTGTGGATTGATTGACTTATCTCTAATGAGAACTGAGTCAAGCACTAGCCCGAGTCTCTGTGTTGACTCAATCTAGACATCATTAGGGCTTGCTAGGTATTGTTATTGACATCAAACAAACCAGATAAAGTGTTGCACGGTTCTGTCTGCTCGATCTGGGCATGTCCATGCTTTTACATTTCAGGTAGATGCAGGTAGGAAAGTGCTTTGTGTGTTGGTTAACAGGCTGAAAGACAAGACCGTGTTGTTCTGCTATCACATGGATGGCTTGGGTTGTGCGGTATCACTGTTTGAGAGTCAGGTCATCTTACATAAGTGTGAAACGAGGTACTTGAGAATCAAATCTCTGCTGTCTTCCCATTATGAGCGTTCAGATGGACATCTGTATCTCTTGGGAGTTTCATGAGCTGTGATCTGCATGAAAAGAGCTCGTCAAGTTTGCAGCTTTGCTGCTCTTGCGAGTTCTCACACCTGGGATGTCAGAGTAGAGCTACCTCACTAAGGAGGATACCTGTAGTTTTGGGCTGGGCAGACTGCCAGGCAACTGGAATTTATTCCCACATGCTGGAAGTTACTGTCATGATATTGAAGCTAAACAAATTTGTGACCAGATGAGTTGCAAGCTGGTTCTGAAGCCTAGCACCTATGCAGAGCCACTCCAGAATAGCTCCCCAGGACTGCGACCAGCAATGGGTGTGATTGCTGTGTCACAAAACACGTACGCAGTCGGGCAGATCGGATTCTCTTGTTGCAGTACGCTGCCGTTACAATTACATGGAGGTGCTTAAGCCTACTGGAGTTGGAGGAAGGCCTACAAACATTCGTAACTCGACTCCTGCAAGCTGAGCAGGTTCCAACCAGCAGTGGAGTCGAGGTTACGCACTGCTCCCCTGGTGCCGCAGCCTGAATTCTCTCGGGTAACGCGGGGCACTGCTTGGGAGCAGGATGCCGAGCGGGAGCAGCCTCCGCTGTGGCTGCGCTGCTGGGCTGGCAGTCAGGCCGGCTGTTGGCGGTGCGCTGGGTACATCGTGCGGCCACGGAGGAGAAGTGCAATTTCTGTTTGACCTCTTCCTCGGGCTGAACCCCGCCGCTGCACGGTTGGGCAAGTGAGCAGCGAAGCGCTGAAATTACTCAGCTGCCAGCGCTGGGGTTCGTTGTTCTGGCCATCGGTGTTGGCACCAAAATAGGAATCGCTGTTTTCCCTCGGTTCTGACCCGTTCCGTCCGCCAGCTGCAAGTTACATTTTCAGGAGCTTCTCCAAAGTCGGGAAGGGGAAGCGGCAGCTACTGTTTGTAGGAAAGGTCTAGTAACAGTGCAATAGAGGCTCCCGCGACCTAGCCGTGTGTGTGAGCGAAGTGCTGTAGCTTTTGGTAAGCTTCCCGCCGCTTTACGGAGCTGAAGCGCCAGAGCGGCGGGCGGCGCTAGCGGGCACCGCCACCTCCCACGGCCGGGGGAGGGCCGCGCCGCTCCCGCTGCGACGTAGCGATCCCGCGCAAGTCGCGCTCCCATTGGCTGCGACGTACGGAGAGGAGCGCGGCGGCGGGGCAGGGCTGCGGAGGGGCCGCCGGGGCCGCTGCTCGGTACGTGAGGGCCGGGCCGGGAGAGGCGGGGAGCCGGAGGGTTTGCGGGCGATCCGGGGGCAGCCGGGCGGTGTGCTTGGGATGGGGAAAACGGCGAGAGAATTGCCGGGCAAACGGAGCGGATTTGTCGAGGCGTGCAGTCCGGAGGTGCCTTTCTGCCGGTCCCGTGCCTGTGCGCTTTCTTTGGGCAAAGCCCCGCGGTGCCACGCAGCGCTTGGAAACTGGGAGAAGTACGGCAAGAGTGTCTGAGGGGCTCCGGGGGGCTGGGAAGGCGGTCATTGAAGCCTGCGAGGGGGCAGGGCGGATGCTCGATGACGGCATGGGGAAGGCACGGCGAGCACGTGGGCCGAAATGGGCTCCGGAATGTGACCGCTGTACCGTCAGATTTGTCGCCGGGCTTTGTGCACGTGAGGTCAGCTGGGTTTGGAAGAAGGAGGCCGACCAGCAGCGTCACCCCTCCTCACCCCTCCCTGGCACGCACAGCAGGAAAACGCATCGATGTGGGAGGGTGGTCTGGGCCTTTAGTGGATCCTGTAAGGCTGACTGGGGATCCTGTAAGGCTGGCAGGTGCGGCCGTCTGGCAGGGCTGGCCAGCAGCAGCGTGCTGCAACTTGGGGTTCGGCCCCTGCCATCCAAAAGGCAAAAAGCAGAGGCTGAGCAGGTCCAGGAGGAGCCGTCCTGGTGAAACAGGCCTTTGTCTGCCTGTCGCTGCCGTGCTGAATTTAGCTGCCCTGCAGCCACAGCAGCGATCATGTTCCCAGCCTGAAGGAGGACGGCAGCACAAAGCCTCCCCGGCCGCCCTCCATGTTCCCAGCGCCCTGCTTGTGCCCTGAGGTGGGTTTCCCTGGAGGGAGGAGCGTTGTTGCCTGAAGTTACGATCTTCCTGAATCTGCTTGGACCCAGCTAAACTAATTAGTGAGCAGTGAAAGCCGGCCACTGTTTCAGTGTCAACTCTGAAGTCCTGGGAAATCATAGAATCCTTCGAGTTGGAAGGGACCTCTGAAGGCCATCTAGCCCAGCTCCCCAGCAATGAGCAGGGACGTCCACACCTGGATCAGGTTGCCCAAAATTGCGTAGCTAAGCACCAAGATTTAGGGTTTGTGGCTCCCTCTCTCTTCCTCTTATTTTTCTATATACTGCTCACTTCTGTGTGGCTTCCATCTCAGGTTTTTTGCATTTGTCCCTTAAAAACCTCAGCTTTCCCCCCAGCACGCTCCAGGGCTCAGCCAAGCTACTACGTGCTCTACGTTCTGATGAAAGATGTCCCAGTTGGGCCCACTGATGGCACACAACCTCATTTTGAGATAGACTGACTGTTAATTCAGGAGAGGACCAAGCCTTGGTGCAGAACACAGGTTTGCTCTCAGGCTGTAAGAGCTTTAGTTGCATTGTGCCTGTGTGCTGTGCCCAGAATCCAGGCGTCACTGCTCAGGCAGGAAGGCCGGTTTGCTCTCCTCTGGGTTGCACTTTGATGCACCAAGGTGTGATGAATCATAGGGTGATTAAGGTTGGAAAAGACCTCTAAGATCACCAAGGCCAACCCCCACCAAGTCCCTCAGTGCCACCTCTCCACAGTTCTTGAACACCTCCAGGAATGGTGACCCCACCTGGGCAGCCTGTGCTGATAGAAGCCAGGATGCCCTTGGCCTTCTTGGCCCCTTGGGCACACTGCTGGCTTTGCTATAAAATGCACCCAACTTTTTCACTTTGCGTGGAGATGAGGGGAGGTGAAGAGCATCTTCTGTTGTGTGTTTCAGAGAGCCCGGGACGCAGTGGCATCAAGTTCTATGCTGATGGCCCTGGATGTGGCAAAGTCGCTCTCTGAAGCCTCGCTGAGTCAGAAGGCCAAATGTTACAGAAGGTGGGACTGCATGGACAGACAGACGGACTGCCCAGAACTGGCCAGCAACGTGCACCAGCTTTTGGGTGCAGAGGGAGCCACAGCCACCCTGAACGACACGGAGAGCCTGGCAATGAGTGGACGTGGTGGTTTGGCCACCGGTGTTACAGCACTCACATCCAGATTGCCTGGAACGAAAGCAAACCGCCTGGAGAGACGGCCGCTGACCTACGGAGCTGACCAGAATGGTGATTCATCTCGTCTTGGCCACTGGTCCTTCCTGGAACAGCAGCAGGTGAAGAGGGTTGTGCTGACCTCTGTATTGCCAATGGGCCCTGGTGAGATGGGGCCTTGTGAGTCTGGGTCCTGTGGGGTGGGAAGGAGTATCTGTCCTGGGGAGCTTTCACCTCAAGGGGAAGGAAAGGTCTGGAGGCAAAGGACCTTGTCTGATGTGACACAAAATCCTGTAGCGCAGAGCACTGCATCTCACGACACCACATCAGCTGTCGTGCACTCGAAAACGTGCTGAGATAAACCCAAAACACCGTTGCCCCAAGGAGGAAGGAGAAGCCCTTGGGTTTTAAGTAGTGACACTGTTGCATTAAACGTGCAGCAGTGGTAGTGGGTGCTGCTGAGGGGGGCAGCTCCCCTTCTCCAGAGGTGTGCTGGGTGCCGGCACACAGGCTGTTGCCTTGGTTCCTGTGTTGCTGCCCTGGAGCTGGAAGCTGCTCAAAATGGAGCTCCTTAAGTAAGTGTCTCTGGCTGCCAAGTGACTCATGCAGCCTTCCAAGTCCTCGAGATGCCTTTCCTTAAAAACAAACCCTGTCCAGGCCTGAGGAGCGGCGTGCAGGCGCGCTGCTGGGACAGAGTTCATGTCAGTGCTGCCTCTTGGGGCGCAGCTGGGGCTGGGCTTTTATCTCCGCGGCCTGGCTGCACAAAGGGGCTTTCTGTCTGGGCACAAAGCACGAGTATTATGTACCATTCCCCATGCATCAGAAGTGTTTCTCCTGGTTCTTTTTACTGGGATTTCCTGGTGGTGCGGGAGGCTTGTAACATGGCTGGGGCTGTAAACTGAGCAAGCACGTGAATTAGCTTCTCCTTTCTTCTCTCCCTGGGTCCCTGCAGAACTCCACAGAGGAAAATGGCACTTCCAGCATCCATCACATCACATCCAGGCACTGGAGTCAGGCACCTTGGTCCCCATCCTCCAGCCCCCCGGAGTCCTTGCCTCAGCAAACCCTGCCCAGCCCCAAGAGCCCCAGGCAGAGCCGCTCCAGATCAAGCTTCTCCACTCTCTCTTTAGAGGAAAACAGCATCTCTGAGCAGCAGGAAGGGAGGCGGTCCCAGAGCTCACCAGCCCGCCTGGACACACCTACTGCAGCCACCTGGGAGCTGTGCCACCAGCCGGGTGTGACGGGAGGTAGGACAACAGGAGGTAGGACAACAGGAGGTAGGACAACAGGAGGTAGGACATTACAGGCACGCAAGGCCCTCAGCCCCCTGCTGCGTGACTGTGCCGCCATGGAGTGTGTCAGGAAGATGTCCTCCTATCAGGCTGATTACTGGGCATGCGCCATACCTGATTCATTACCCCCATCCCCGGATCGTCAGTCTCCCCACTGGAACCCCAATAAGGAGTATGAAGACTTGCTGGACTATACATACCCGCTGAAGCCAAAGTACAAGCTTGGGAACGTGCCGGAGCCTCTATTCCATGACTCAGGAGTAGATCTGGACAGCTTCTCTCTGTCTCCTGAGGGCACTTTCAAATCCACCAGCATCTATGGCCTACGTTGGCAGGATCAGGGAAGGAGAGAGAATGGGCATCAGGGGGCTGTGGCTTCCACAAGGAGATACTCCACACCAGTGGCTGGAAAAGCAGGCAGTGCCAGAGCTGTCTCTCACTACGAACCTTCTCCCATTGCAAAAGCATCCTTGGCAAGGAGCGCTTCCTCTGCTGGCGCAGCAGGTCCTGCTGAAGGTTTTGCTAAGGGTTTAATGTTATCCAGGTTAGCCAGACTGAGTTCATTTGATTGCCCTGATGTGGATGGGGGAAGCTGGTGTACCAGGAATCCCTTTTCCAGTCACAAAGGAAAGGTGAAAAGCGCTGAGAGGTTTCTGCCTACAACACAAGTACTCCCCTTGACAAGGGAGTGGGACGGTGATGAAGAATTCCTTTCCCTGCCTCCCCGGCTCCGGGAGCTGGAAACGTTGTCTCAGATTTTGTCTGATCTTTCCTTAACTATAAGGACACCCAGGCAAAGCCACTGGGAACCTCCACCTCGCAGCAATGGCCCGGAGACCCTCTCATCCGAATGGGCTCCTTTTGGAGAAGTGGGCAGCAGGGACCTAAGGGAGAGAACTGAAGGCCCTGCTGGGCTATGTCACCCCTACAGCTGGGACAGTGCTCAGCCAAGCAGCAGAATCAACAGAGACCCTCTGCACAGACCGCCTCTCCCTGCCAGCAGCAGGGCTGTCCTGGAGGGGACACGCCTGAGCAGGCTGCACGCTGCAGGCTGTCCCACAGAGGGGGACCAGTGGAGTGAGTCCCTTGCCCAGTGTGTTAAGGTAGGCTGAGACCAGGGACTGAAGCTTCTTGTGGGAAGGTTTTGCATGCAATGTAGGATTATAGAATCGTTATGGTTGGAAACACCGCTAAGATCATCATACCAAACCTGACCTCCATGGTGCAACTTGGTCATTCCCTTTCGTCCTATTGCTGTTACCTGGGAGAAGAGGCTGACCCCCACCTCAGCCCAGCTTCCCTTCAGGCCATAGCGAGCTCTGAGGTCTCCCCTGAGCCTCCTCCAGACTAAACAGTCCTCGTTCTCTCAGCTATTTCCATTCACCACTGCTCTTTGGGGCTGTACTTTGCTCCTGTGCTCCCAGTGCCTCTTGTCTGGTGCTCGGTCCCTGGCAGCTGGTAGGAATTTGTGCACGGTGGCTCACCAGAGCAGATAATTTCCTCAGATGGAGCAAGAACCTCTGGTAGTGGGGAGTTCTGCGTCCTCACAACATTTCTGCTCGCTGGGTTATTCCTATTGGTGGTTTGAGTTCACCTAATAAAAGCAGTCACAACTTTTGGGGAGGGCTGGGAAGTCGGGGCAGCTGTGCTACAAACCAGGGTAAAGGGCCTTACCTGGAGCTGTAACATGGCCTTGCCTGGGGTGTATGAGGGCTGTACCTGGGGTGTACAGGGCTGCTTGGGGAGCTCTCTGTACCCGGAGCAGCAGCACGACTCCCAGACGGAGCCCAGCAGGTCTGGAGTCTTCAGAGGGAGCAGAGGCCCCCAGGCTTTACACAGCATCCTACAAAAATAATCCCTCACTGAGATGCTTTAAAAATAAATGAAGGTACTCAATTGAGAGAGAAAAATCCCCCGGGGAGGAGCAGCTGCAGATGAACTCCATGGGACTGGGTCGCTGTGAGGAGGAGGGCAGGGAGCTGGCAGAGCAGCAGCTGTGATTTGTTCCGCAGGTGTTTTGCCACCAGCTGGAGGAGCTCATCTGTTGGCTGTATGATGTGGCGGACACGGCGGACGGTTGGGTGCCCCCTATGCCTGATGCTGCCAGCGTGAGGGCGGCGCTGCACCGTTATGTGGTGGGTATATGGCCTGGAGCACACGGCCACGCTGGGGTGGGTGCTGCCCAACACGCTGCTGAGCAGTGCTCCCCCTTTTCTCCCCAGGAGTTCAGGAAGGACGTGGCCGATCACCGGAGCCTAACAGAGAGCGTGCTGCAGCGTGGAGCTGCTCTGCTTGAGTGCATGGCCTCCAATTCGCCAGGTGAGCAGGAGCTGCTGGGTGGGGGTGGAGGGGATGGGCGCTTCTGTGTGGCTGCATGTGGGTACAGCCGGCCCCCCAGATCCCTGGCAGTTGGTGGGCAGTTTGTTGTTGCTGTGAGAACGGAGGCAGATGTAAGAAAAGGACTGATGCAGAGGTGTATCTGTGTCTGGAGGTGCTGTGGCTGCCCCGTGCCTTAACCTTGCTCCATGCCGTGCCATCCGTCACAGTGCTTGCTGCCTGTGTGGCTGATGGATACGTGCACATCCTGTGGCCAAAAAGTCTTTGTCTGCAGCCACCAAAGCTGTCTTAATGGTCTTCTTTTGCATTCTGCATGAAGGACTCCTCTGAGAGCCCCTATTTTTGTACTTTCAGTCTTACTCTGCAGCTTCCTATGTCACATCCTGCTGCCCTTGTAACACTGCATCACAATTTGGAAGGGGCAGACATGGACTCCTTCAGTGAGATCTGACTGTCAGTTTCCTTCAGATATCTGTCTGGGGCAGGTGGAGCTCTATTCTTTGTTCTTACAGTCATGTTAATAACTCCATTCATGCCTTCTGTTTTCCAGCCTTAAAGGACACGCTGGGTTTGATTGAGAAGCAGTCAGAGGAGCTGGAGAACCACGCAGAGCGCCTGTACCAGTCGGTCCTGGCTGCTGTGGGTCCCGTGCAGGGGGAGAGCAGCAGCAGTGCACAGCAGGCAGCAGCTCAGGCACCAGAGGCCCAGTGGTCGAGCAGGGTAAGGGGAGAGGGAACACTGGCACAGAGCGGTGACTGAGGGCTGTCACTGAGGAAATCCGGTCCCATTTCCCTCAGCCAGTTGAGCTGTCACTGGGAATCCTTCTAAAACCGTGTCCTTATGAAATGACTGTAGGTGCCAGCATGGAGCCTGACTCCGTGCTGGTGCAGCTCCTGCACCTGAGAGGCACAACTTGGGAACTCCTTCATCCCTCAGAGCTCTGTGACCTCGCATGTTGCATTTCTGAACGTTTGTTCAAGTGGTGAAAGGGAAATAAAGATTTCCAGAGCTTTAGAAGAGGGTAACGCTGCACTGCAAAGCTTTGTATTTCTAATTCTTAAAGGCACCTATGCATGCTCTCCAGAGTGTACGTGGAGGTGATTGAGGCACGGTGTGGGTTGGTTTTGTTTGTGTTTGGATTGCAGCCACTGCCCGAGATTAAAGCTTTCTGTTTCATTGCAGGTGCTGCCTCCATCAGAGCTGAGCTTTGTCAGCCAGGCTCAGGAGGGCTGAGCAGTGACTGCACAGACAGCTCTGCAGGGATGCCACTGCTGTGTTGGCCCATTCGGTTTGGTTTTTACTGTAGCCACAGAAGGGCAAGCTGTGCAGCAGTTGTTTGGCTCCTGGTATTGCTGTTATTGCTAAGCTGGGAGCTCTACGAGTGAGGAATGTACAGCTCTCCACCTCCTTCTTTGTTTTATTGGAATGTAGCTTACTCCTTTATTGCAGTGCTCTGTCCCACGGGGCAGGAGCACATTTTTTTATCTCAGTAATCCATAGTGTGCAGTGCAACTCACACCTAAGTAAAGCTGTGTGATTCTAATAGCAGCGTTCTGTGTTTGTGCCCTTCAGAAATAGGTGCTGGAAGCCAAGTAGCAGCAGCTCCTTCTGTGCTTCTTGGGAGCAAACTCTTGTTTATAATTATCCTTCAGTGCCCACTGAACTGTTCTGTTACGCATAAATGCAAAGAGCCAATACTCTGAGTGACTCCTGACAACAGCAAGCAGGTTTGTGCACGAGCTGCTTGCACCATGCTGGTCCCCGTGGCTGAACAGGACTGTGCCACCCCCCTCTTACAGCTCCCCTTTTATCAGAAAGGGGCTCTAGAGCCTTTCTGCAACAAAAAAGGGTGTGCTTGGAGCAACTTCATTAGGTAAGTAGTCAAAAAAAGAAAATTACAGGCTGTTGGTACTTGTAATTAACCTTTACACTAAAGAGCAAGTCATGTTCTCTTGCAGAATACATCATTTCCTCCCATTCTTACAAAGAGAACAGATACAGCACATGCAGTGCACAAGTGGAAGGCAAAAAGTACAGTTACACCAAAGCAGCCAGGAGTTCTAAATAACACATTGGTCTTTTTTGTTTAATACTTTTCCAAGTTCCACCTCCTCCTCTCAGCACTCGGTGTGGCTCCTGCAGCAGGAATCAGCATTACCCCAGTGCTGGTGGAAGGAAAGGCTGCTGCCTGGTGGCCACCACTGGCAGGTTCTGAGCACAAAGCAGTGTGCTGGAGCTCACAAGTGAGAGCCCAGTTCAGCAGGGGTTGCCTTTAAACCTGCTCTACTCTCCACCTGCTCCCAGCACCAAACAGTGCCAGCAAACGAAGTCATGACTTAGGAAAAAAAAACAAAACAACAAAAAACACCAAACAACTGGTGTAGGCCAAGTTGGTTTTGCAATGCTTTTATTACTGTATATATTAACATTGTTTTGGATATTATGTAGCAGGCATCTCAACATTTAAGTTCATTTGTGCAGTTCTCTGAAGGGAAGATGTTTTGCCCTCAGTACACCTTCTGGGTCGCTTCCTGATCTTAGCAGCACTCACTGCTCCCATGGCTCCTGCCCTCAAGGAGGAGCCAGTCACATTATAATGAATTATACCAACAAGCACATCTCTAATAGAAAGCACATCACTTTATTGTGAAGGTCTCAAGTGGAAGAGTTCAACTTAACCATGACAATACTTTATGTATTACAATTGCCTGTTGATTGATGCAACTATGTTGAAGAAAGCTGTTAGCCAAAGTCCCCCCCCAAAACAAAAAGATCAGAGGATATTTGCACCAATTTTAGTTTATACCTCACAACATACCTAGGCTATATTCTTACTACCACAAGGTGTATTTACTACTAGGGGAATGTTACATGGTCTTTCAAACATGAGACTATTTACAGAATAGGCTGAACGTTTGAGTTTAGATAAAGCTGAACAATTTTACATGTATAGGAAGTGTTATAGGCTAGCTTTCCTGTGGCTTTTAGCTAGACATCAGGCACTAATGACTTGATTAGCTCTGTACAACAAATCACACGCTGCCCAAACCTCACTGCTGCTGGTTAGTTCCACGCTGGGTGCAATAGAGCCTACCGGAGCAACAGCCTGGCGTGGGGCTGCCCTGTCCCCACTGCATCCTTCTGGTGCCTCTACACGTAACAGAAGAGAAACTAAGCTGTTGCACGAAGAAGAGTATTAATTAAAAGAGGATGGAATTAACAGTATATAGAAAAGACGTAATATACTGGTAGAAAGTCATACCACCTCAAGGTCAACGCTGAAGTCACTCACGTTAGGGCAATACCGCTCCTCTGCCCTCACATCCAGCGGACAGATGCCCTACGTGGAGTCCTTGAGAAATAAATTAAGATCTGAGACTAAGCTGGGGAACTGCAGTACATTCAGAGTGCACGACGCCTCCGCCAGCACCGGGGTGTTCGTGGGCCTGGTGTGTGCCTCCAGCACTGCCAGAGCTCAGGCTTTTGGGGCACAGCACAATGTTTGTCGCAGGGAAGGAAGGTCTCTGCTCTACTACAAGGTCTGAGCCATGGCTGCACAAAGATATGTTTTGTGCACAATGCAAGCCTCATTTCCCCTTTAGCCAATACAAATTAAGACAATATTTATCACCATACAGTTTGATATTACTTCCAATAAGTACAATATTTATTAAACATTTCTTCAGTTTTGTTACATATTGTGCAACAAATTACAATATTCTGCAGCCACAAATTATATGCAGAGAGTATGAAGAAACTATTAATCAGAGATAGTGTGATCTTTCCATTTATAATTCTACAAGAAGGAACTAGCAAATCAGATCTTACATATATCTTACTAAATTTTTATGCATGGAAACCGACAGACACTGTTGTGCTGTTTGATACAAAATGGCTGAACTTCATCTTCAGAAGACTAAACCTGACATCTAAACATGCCAATAGAAACATCAAAACAAAAATACATCCTAACCAACCACAGGAAACAGTCTGGTATCAGGAAAAGCAACAAGGATTACACGTTTATAAACCAGCACACAAAGGTTTAAAACAGTTCTGAAAATGAAGTTAGCTGTCTTGAGTCAAGGGAATAAAAAAAGTCAGTATTGACCATTTACAATCTCTGACCTTTGTGGAGACGGTAAGAATCTGTTGTAGTGCAGCTACATACAGTACAATTCAGGCAATTTTTTTTTTTTTTTTTTTCACTTGGGTTCAGATTGCAAATTCATTGTTGTGAGACAAAAGGGGGGAGGCAAGTTTTAGCAGCAACCTCCACTAGACTGCTTGACTGGAGTGCTCTGAATTTTAACATTGGACTTCTCTGCACCACCAGCTGTCGCTCCAGGACCCATTCGTTTTTTAATCTCAGCAGCCATGGTCATGAAAGACTGTTCTACATTTGTGGCGTTCTTTGCACTGGTTTCCAAAAATGGAATTCCAAGAGAATCTGCAAATTCCTGCAAATTGAGAAACAGCAAACAGTGAGCTCACGTACAGATTCATACCTCACCTTGCTTCCCAGCACAGCTCCATACGGGCTGCAAGTTCCCAGACCACAAGCCCACTCCCAAGCCCCAGCCTGGTGTGCACCTAAGCTAGCTGCACGCAGGGCCTCCTCTGCCCTACTCAGCTGCATCTGCGACCCAGAGCAGCACTCAGCCATGCAAGGATATCACCAACATACCTTTGCTGTTGTATAGTCTACTACTTTCTTTGTGGTCAGATCACACTTGTTCCCCACCAACAACTTGTTGACGTTTTCACTGGCATAACGGTCTATCTCCTGCAGCCACTGTTTTACATTATTGAAAGACTCCTAGGAGACAAGAGAACTGTAAGCAAGACCCCTCACCATGACAGAGGTCAGCACGACTCGGTAATGACTGGAAGAAGATGAAGAATAGCGTACTTATCAGCGTGCTTCACAACCACAAGGGACAGAACTATAATGCTGCTGTATTTATCCACAACACAGCACTCCCCTGATTATCTCAGGATAAGGAAGTCAACACAGGATCTAGAAACTCTAGAATTCATTGCTCCAAGCCCTGTACAATCACTCTTCCTCCCTTGCTGCATTTCCCCCTCCACCCCTTTGTATTTCCCTCCCGAGTGGCCAACATACACCATCAGGGACTCCTCCTCCTCTTCCTGTAGCAGAGAGAAAAGGCACACAGCTGAAAGCAGAACCACCCCAGGTATTAAGAGCACCAGCTATGAGGTGCAAGCCACCTTGTCGTAGAGATGATGGAGTCTTTGACTCCAGAAATACAGAACTGCCACTCAGATTAGTACTGAGCCCAACTGCTCCTTTTCTATCAGCTCAGGAAACTCGATGCCTCCAAAGAGCCCTTCAGGCAGCACAACAGCACCAGTAATCTTCAGAGATGCACAGAAAACACTGGCTCAGTTGTACACTGCACACACACTGACATTTCTTTCAAATTCCAGTCTTCATTGCAGACCAAAGTTCAAATACATTCAGAATATCAGTAACTCAGACTTTCTGCTGCCAAAGGCAGGCTGAGAAATATTCACACAAAACAGTCAGTTACCTGCCCAGATCTTAGCTTAAGCCTAGGATACCACAGCTTTACAGCCATGTATCCCAAAGATCCTTTTATTTCCGTGTAAAGGCCCAAAGCAGACACATATGATAAACATTAACAGTCAGAAGAACATGCCACTTGTATGCTTAAGAAATGCCAAGTTGTTGAAATCCTGCGCAGTGCAAAAAGCATCAGACTGCATTTATTTACATACCAGCCTAGTGCAGTCCATGTGGGAAAACACCAGGCACAGACTCACCCCTTACCTGATCTGTAACATCATACACAACTATGATGCCATGAGCTCCTCTATAGTAACTGGAAGTGATAGTTCGAAACCTCTCCTGCCCCGCTGTGTCCCACTGCAAGACAAACAGGACCAGTTACTGCAGTGTAGTGTTACACAGCCTTGTGGAAATGCAGCTTGGCTGATCAGCCATCCAGCTGCAGGCATAGCCAAGTCACAACCACAGAGACAGAAACAAACAGGACTCAAGATAATCAATGCTTTAACTGTGAAGCACTTCAGTAGGTGCTTTTCCAGAACTGCCCGTTCATTTGGCTTTTGAACAAGTGCACTAAAGTTATCTCAATGAAAAATAACATTTCACATCCTTTGGACCTCAACGGAAACTACAGTGCAGTCGTGAGGAGAACAAACACATGAGCCAGAGCTTTAAAACCTGTTAAGATCAGACAGGTGTGGGCATCTTTTAACATCACCAAACCCTCTGGCTTCGTTGGTACAGGAGCTGCAAAGGTAACCTCTGTTAAGGAAGGCTATGCGGTTCCTGACTTCTTCCCCTGCCAGGGCAGGAGCAGCTCTCACCCAAACACCGCTGTTCCCTGGGCCACATCATGAGCAGGGCTAAGCACTATTAAAAATAGCCAGACTCAGAGACAGATGTCAGTACTGACAGCATTCCTGGCTCTGGAGGTCTGCAGGCTCTGCCACAGAGGTTTCCGGCTGTGCACCGGACTGCTGCTCCACAACACAGCCTGAAATCCCTGAGTCACTGCCTGCCCATCCTGAGTGCCTCTGCTGGAGCTGGAAGCAATGGCTGTCAGGGATTGTGTGACCTTGCACAGATATTCATTACACAAGTCACCGTTTTGGAGTGCTTCAAGATTAGAGGAAAAAGCTGCCAAGCCTCTTCCCCTGCTTCTTCTAAGGGAAAGGCCAAACAACCAGAGAGCAGTCAGTGCTAAGATGGGCAAGCCAGCTAACAAGCATTTGTGTTACTTCCTCCTTTCAGATGCACGAAAGCACACTTCAAGCACTAAACAGTACAGACAGCTGTTAACAGCTGCTGCAGAAATTGGGCATCCGGGGCAGCAGTGTGATGCCCTTGCACAAATCCCTGCCAACTACTGCAGAATGAGCCCAGTTTTGATGAGAACACACGAGCACAGGATCCTACCCCCCCCTCAGCTCACTGCCCACCGTGCCTTGTAACACTTCAGCTTTCTTTGCTTCCCAGAGGAAGAAAAAAACAAACACAACAACAGGTCATTTCCCCCTTTGGGCCAGCAGGCTTCATCAGCATCCTTCTTTAGAAACAGGCAATGAGAAGTCTTGTTACAATTGCCTATCCTCCTGGTACAGGGAAGAAACCATTTTATCATTAAAATATAATCAAATATAAGTACTGGTAATCATGAAGGCAACCATGCTTTAACAGATTGATGCAGCCAGGAGTTCAGAAATACTACTTACTATCTGAAGCTTGATTGTTTTCCCATCTAGTTCTATAGTTCTGATTTTGAAGTCCACACCAATTGTGCTGATGTAACTTTCTGTGTACGTGTCATCCTAGGAAAGAGTGAACAGAAGTCAAGCCAGCTGCCCTTCTGCAGTCACCTACTTAATTATGCAACAGACAAACACCATGCACACGAAGCTACTTAGTCCTCCAGCAAAAAGCAGTCTGACCATCCATTACAAAGTCCAACGGTTACCTGCACCACTTCAATCAATATTTACACTTCAGAAACGTAGCACAAGTTGAAAGCATGGCATAAAACAAGATTTATGTGCCACAACTAGTCAGTAAAATTCATTTTGAAAACCAGTGCAACATTAAGTCCTCATGAACCATAGCTTAAAAGACAGCTTTGCTCGAGTTGGCAAACTGAGGAGCTATTTTGAATAACCATGATGGTCATTAAAACGCCTCAAATTTTTACCTTCCTTGGAGGTTCCTTTACCTGTGACACAGCAGCTATCTCCAAGAAGGTAAAGGCTTTGCCTCAGTCACACTCCACATTTGAATTTCAGATCCTTTGGTTGCTAAGGCAGTTTAGAATTACAGCTTGGGCTCCTGTGTTGAAGTCCCCTGCTGCACAGTCTGAGTAAACACAGGAAGCCAATGGCAGCACTGGTTTAAGAGCACACACAGCTGCTCTGAGCCCCCAGCTGCCCTCAGGGAGCACAGGAACCTCGGGCTCACTGCTATGTTCTAGAGATCGTGAGCCTACTGGCATAAAGGAGCTTACAGCCCTGAAGTACCAGCAGGATGGAACTTTGGGTAAAATATGCCACAAAGGGCTTCACATAACCAGCAGCTGGCACGAAAGCATGGGATTTCTTTGGGTTGTGAGTGGAAAACACCTCAGATAATACATCTGCCTGAAGCAGCAGAAAGTAGAAATAAAGCATTAAACCTTTTAGAATGTGACATTTATATCCTTAACATTTCAATGCTCAGGCAGGTGTGTTCAAAAGCCTGTTACTGCTTAATCTAAAGCAGGAGCACGTGTAAGCGCATGCTGTAATAATTCCTTGTGTCAAGCAAAATAAAAGCTTAGTAGAAAGTCACATTTTCACAGGAGGAAGCTACTTAGTTACAGAAATATCAGGTGACACAAACTTGAGCTGATTATCAAAAAGAAAAGTTGACAATTCATGTGAAGACAAAATGTATTCAGAAGCATCTGCAAGAAAAACAGGCTAGACTGATCTGGGAGTATTGCTCCAGCCCTGGTGTCACTTCCAATCCACTGCCTCCAGCTCCAAGAGCAAAGCAGGTTACAGCAAGTGCTCACTCTGCTTTTCACATTACCCTGTCCTCCTAAAGCAGCACTGCACATCCTGATAGTTTCCACACGCGTGATGCTGCTGGTGCACAGCAGACCCCCACTTCATGCAGGTAGCATGCAGCACAGCAGGCTCCTCCCAGAGCAGATGTCTGGGCAGGAACTGCCACCATTATCTGCAATAGTATCAAAACCTAGCATTAGGATATTCTCCCTCAAGCAAAAGAGTGACAATCAAACTTAACTGCACATCCTCAGCATCTGTCCTTATAGCTTGAGGATACATCAGCTAGAAACAAGTGCAGAAGACAGGAGAACTTTGGAATACTTTGATTATGGCTAGGTATTAGACATCAGTCCTTTCAAGCAGTTCTTACAGCAGATAAATTCTTCTTAAGTATCCAGCAGGTTTTATTTTGCTTTCCCATAAAGTTTAAGCACAGTCACTTACTGCAAACCTAAGTAGAAGGCAAGATTTCCCAACACCGGAGTCTCCAATCAGAAGTAGCTTGAATAAATAGTCACTGCAAGAAGAAAAAACAGCACTTGATGAAAAATGCCATTGACACAGCCAAGTTCATTAAAGCAATATAATATATCTGACTGAGTAAAATTAATTCACTGCTAGAGAACAGGCACCTACAACTCCAAACTCCTTTACCCAATTTAGACTCTTTCACAAGTCACTCAATTTGCTTTGTAAGGGAAGTGCGAGGTGCATGTTCTGAACACAGCACTTTTGGACAAAAGCATTTCTTCCTAGGAAGTTCCACTGAGGACACTGGCCTATCAGCAAGGCAAGACAGCCCTGCTTCAGCCCTTTGTGGTCTAGCTAAAGCTGAAACCACACTTCCCAGTTAAGTGCAAGCCTTGCTCTTCGGTTGAGCAACTGCAGCAACAGAGGGCAGAAGTAATAGTTCTGGTGGCCAGCAAGCTTTCTTCACATCATTTTTAAGTCAAAGGCCCAGCACCACTTGTAACTCCATGAACAGCTGGCTAAAAGCAAACAAAACCAATGGAATATACAGTGTTAATAGCTTGTACACCTAAATTAAGTTTAACAGCCTGCTAGCAGAAAATGAACACTTGCCTTCTGCTGCAGACTTCACAGCAGAATGGCCACGTACTCTATTGGTCTTCCAGAAAAGGAGAATGAAAGCCATTGCTAAATGGGAATGTATTCATGCTCAGGTGTGACATCCACACATCTGTGCTCAGGAAGGTGGTGGCATGATGAGGACCACCACTCGCAGCAAGCAGGTAACCCGTGTTAGACTAACTCACCCTAGGATTGTAACACTTCAGCCCCATGCTGCCCAGAATGACGTCCTATTCTCATTTAGCCACAAGTTTACGACAGCTACGTGTCTGTGCCATGTAACCAAATGAAGATAAGACTCATCCAAGTGCCTGAAGCCACTTGTCCCTGCCTATTACTCCCCACCACTGCAGCTACTCCAGCTGGCAGCAGCCTGCATGCATCCTCAGCTGGTAGCAAACAAACAGCTGGTGAGCTGTTCTGCTCACATGCCTGGGTGACCTGCCTTTTCGCTGGTCCCAAGCTGAAGGAACTTGGTCAGCTGAGACTTCCACTCACCCTCATAGTGCTTCTGGTTTGTCTCTAGCCTTGAGAGAAGAAAGTGTAACAACTAATCTTTCAGAAATGCATGCTTCCTACACATCATAAAGCAAAAAGCACTCAAGGTATTTCAAAAATCAAAGTCATCTAAAGGATATTTAGCAATTTATGGCAACCAAAACTTACTAATGTCAAGTCATGTAGTGACATGAAGCAAGACTGCTTTAGTAAAATGACAGTTACTAACCCAAATAGTTCAGGAGAGAGAAGTTTGATTGCACACACACAGCCCACTTACCTCAACAGCTTCAAGACAGATGAAGAACTACTGCTTACCAGGGCCACTGTTACTGCCAGCAGCTCACACTGCTGATCACTGCCAGGACAGCAGTGACAGGCCACTCACAAAGCTGGCCTATCTGTGAGCTGACCCAGCAGCACCCCGTGCCCCCACACCCTTTGGGACAGCAGTTCCATGTCTTGTGGGCCAACCTGCAAAAGCTGCCACAGCAATGAGGTGGGAGCTGAGGACGCCCTGCTGAGCTCCATCACAAGATGAGCTCTAAGCCTGACAGTGAGCCAGCAGGACTGCATGGGCAGCCTTACAGCTTCGTCAGTGCTCCTCCAGCCACCTCCCACACCCAGGAACTGAGGCAGGAGTTACCCCCCAAGCACCTGCAGTCAAGCACTGAAGTCTCTTTACCCCCACCAAGGATTTACTGCCCTGGGAGCAGCAGAGAAGAGTGACATAGGCTGGAGGTTGAGGTGAAGGCACACAGCTCTCAGACCTGGCCTGTAGTTCAACCTATCCCTCCTTCTCCATGATCACAAACTGAAGCTACAGCTTCCTCAGCTTTCAAGTTTTACAATACATGTTGGTTGTTAACTTGCTGGCAAAGCTTAAGTTCCCTGCAAGACTAAATTATTACTTCTGGAAAGCATTAATACAATTGAAAGTATGGGAGCCTGCAGCATGTTTGTAATCTCCTTAAGAACAGTATCATATGAATATTACCACTGTTCTCACTAAAACATTGCTGCTAATGTTGGGAGAAAAGCATTAATTCCTTCTTAGTGCAGATAAGGCCCCAATGAGAAGCCTGTCACCAGGAAGATGCAGGTGTCCTCAGCCCCCAGGCACCACGTGGCCTTCCCTGCCCTCCTACTGGTGCTCAGGGCAGCCACCAACCACCTCTACCTTGCTATTAAGTCTTCTATTTTACATGCAAGCATTTACCGTCCAAAAGCTCTCACAGCAGAAAGGCTCTCACAGCTTACCCAGCACTACTGCTAAATTAAAGCAACAGGAATCCAAAAGCCTTAAATACTGCTTTGGACACCTTTACCACTAAGGCCTTCCCGACTTCACTCTATTTCAGAAGCAATCGGGTGCTCACAGCAGCTCCAGCACCGTTCTGGCCATGGCTCCCACCCCAAAAAATGGGTGCTGTGTCACAAACCTACTTTCACCAGATCAGCATGACTGAAGCTTAGACCTGTGTGAACTCAAGGATAACTGAAAGTAGAACCTTGCTGCTTAGATTCTCAAAAACGAAGGTCACTGCATGCATAACACCCAACTGCACGCTGCATTTCTGGGTACTTTTAAAACATGAGGTGCCTGTATACAGACCTCAGGAACCAGATGAACAGGGCTACAGGGGGCGTGATGTTACACTTGTAACAGTTTAAAACCAACAGAAATGAAAACAAACTACAAAGCTTTACTGAAGTCTATTTCCAGACTGAACTCAGCTGATGGAATAAACACCTTCCACTGCTCTCATGTGTCCAAGTCACACAGGTTAATTTTGGTGTTGGCTCTGAAGTGCAACGACCATTTCTGAAGCTACCGAGTTTTGTTTTCCAGGGCTGAAAAGTTTGGTCACTGGCTCTTAGGGCACAGAAAGCCCTAGTGAAGCAGGCTGAGCACAAGCAGTACAGCTTCTCCACATCACTTCGAGATGGCATGAATTCAGACTGATCATTCAGCCATCTCTCATTATGTATGTAAGCAGGCATATTTAGCTGTTAAACAGGCATACTTAGGTGCTAACCCCATACCAGACAGCACACTGGAGGAGGATGCACAGCAAGGCAGGCAGGTACAGCAAGTACAAGGGAGGCTCTTCCATCCTCCCTGTCAGGAAGAGGACACACTAGATTCCTGCCAAAGAGAAGGGCTGGATAATACTAAGTTCAACTGCCTCTTGCAAAAGAGGAGATCTCCAAAGAGAACTGTCACATGTGAGTGGAGAGTAGCACTACCACAGATTCTCCATGCCACCAGCAGGAAGTTCAGGACAGACGAGGCCAAAGTCACACAGAATGAGGGATCTGCTTGCCTACGATACTGTTGTTCAGCCAGCTGAAAGTGTCCTTTCTTTTCCTAGTATCAGGAAGGTTTTATCCCAAAACAGACAAGACAAGGTAGACATCCATCCCCTACAGGGAACTGCTGGAATCAGCTTTAATCACTGCTGTCAGCTGCAGGGTTATTGCAAACAGACACAGCAGCCTCCAATTCTCCGTCTTTGTTCCACCATCCAAGATTTGCTGAAGAGGAGCATGACTGCCACTGATTACCCTCTGCTTGTGAAAGCAAACAGGATTAGAAGACAATGCTACTCTGCAACACATACTGTGGTTTACAAAGGTTAGAACACGTGACTCCAGATGTCTCCAGCAACCCAAAGCTGTCACTCAATCATCGTCCACCAAGTTCCACCATACAAGATGAAAACCCCACGCAGGTATTTGGTAACACCTCTGAATACTATAGGCAAATGTATTCCACAAACATTTCCTTATTCTCCTTCCAGCTCCCTAGCATGAAATCCAGACCTGACATAGCACTCAGTAGGATGAGCTCCCAACACTGCTGACCTGCTCACCCTGCGGCGTTCACACCAGCCAGCCTGCTGCACACAGCTTGCACAACAAGTAGGAAGCACCAAACCCAGCAAGACACTGAAGTCAAGATGGACACTTTGCTTACTTAAACACCACAGCGGGGGAGGAACACAAAGGAACACAACCCAGCACTGCCCAGACAGATGTTTTGAGAACGTGGCTTCACAGACACCACAGCGACATCTCAGCCAGCCCTCCTTCACTCAGAGGGAGCAGCACACTCACTAACCCACTAAGCTGTCTTGGAGCACCAAAATTCCAAGGAAGCTCCCAGAAGCATACAATCCCTGCATGCTCTGACACCATGCTTCTAATTTCATGACATTTTAAATAAACCAAATGAAGACTGCAAGTCTTTTTCACTAAAAACATTATCTGACCCACTGATGGCTGATGGAGCTCTGGCATGCCAGGGAAGGAGGGTGTGGGGCTGTGGTAAGGAAATGAACATACATTACAGGCAAGGCGCTGCTAGAAAGACAAACAGACACCTGCACCTGTTGCAGATGAACTATAAAGAAGAATGTTCTAGCCCTATCAGTCTTGCTTCTGGTTTAATATTGATCAAAGTATACCACAGGGGAAGAAAATATCTGTCATCTCACTGTACTCTTCCCATCTCTTATCCTCATCCGGCAGAGACGGCCCTGTCAGGAAGTGACACTTTAATATCACAAGTTAATCTTAAACTACAGCCTTTCCTCCTCAACCCGCTTTCAAGAGCTCAACAGCTCTCCCCATCAGGAACAAACGTGCTCTGCAGAGAACAAATCTCCCACAGAATGTTCGTTCAACTTCAGAGCAGCATTCAGTATCTCTGTGTAGGAAACCTTCCTCTGTATCAGCTGAGAGCCTTTGCTAAGGCCAGAAAGCTATGGGAAGAACATCCTCCTCCCCCAGCTCCTCACAGCCCAGTCTAGCAGTCCGCAGGGAGCCTCTGGATCCAAAGTCTGCTGGTGCATAGGATGAACTCAGGTGGGGCCTTGGGAGCTTTCATGGCCATAAAGGCACCCAGTACTTCTTGTCTGCTCATCCACTGGCTGCATCCCACTGCTGTTTTCATGTTTCCTGAACCTACACTAGCAAGCTCGTTATGTAACCTTGCCAAGATGTAATCTGAGTTGCTGGCCGTACCTCTTGGTTTTCACAAACTATCTCAAACTAGATGATGACTACTTTGCCTTCTGTTTCTGTTCGCTCTTCAGGTGATTTAATGGGCACAGAGTGCTCGCAGTCAGGCTGCCATGTTCCGGGAGCACAAACCATGGTCACACAAGCCAGCACTGTGAGAAAAAGTAAGCTCCAAGGCTGAAATTGGTTGAGTGTCATCTGGAGCAGCAATGCCATCCAACGCATGCAGCTCAACACCAGAGCCACTCCGGTTACATCAGAGGGCACGGCAGCTTTGTCATCCCAAGCCGGAGCACTGGCAAAGCCAATGTCAGGGAAAGAGCCCTAAAAACACTCTCCAGCACTACAGCAGGTTTCAAAATATTTTTTTAAGCTCTTCCCAAATCTCTCCTCCTGTTCCTCACGTGAAGAACCACGAGTAGAGCGACTGTCCCTACGGCCCCACGAGGATGGTGGGGGGGCACAGAAATTGCTCTCACCGCCGCCAGGCTGCGGCAGCCCCGACCCCGGGTCGAGCCTCGCTCCCAGTGGAGAGGCGAGGAAGGGGGGTCGCACGGACAGACCGCGAGCTCCGGCAACCCCCCGGAAAGCCTTCGGGCTGACGACGACCGTTTCATTACCGAGCCCCGGCGTTGCAAAACCCGCAGAAGCTCGAGGTGTTTTGCAAGAGCCATGTGACACACACATGACTCGCGGCTAAGCGAAGGGCGGACCTCCGCCTGCCGAGCCGCCGGCCCGGATCGGCTTTCACAAAGCGCCGTTCCCCCGCAGCCCTCCGAGGCCCGGCCGCGATCGCACTGCGGCCCCGCCGTTCCGTCCCCGCGCACCGCCCGCCGCAGTCGCGGCGTTCCGCCGCCGCCCTTCGGCCCCGTGGCCGCGCCCCGTCACCCGGCGCCGCGGGGAGGCCGCCTGCAGGAAGGCCCCGCTCCCCACGGCCGTCCCGCTGCGGCCCGCTCGCCCCCGCCCATCCTCTCGCCGCCGTCCCCCGCCCCGCACTCACTATTCGGGGTTCATGCTGGACATGTCCGTGGGGCCCGCGGCCCGAGGGACGGCGAGCGCGCTGTGAGGGGTGGCGGTCGCGGCCTGGCACCTCCCGCCGCCGAGGCGGGCGCTCCGCGGATGCAGGCGTCCAACGGCTCCCGCCTTCTCTCGGCGCTCGGCTCGGCCTGCCCGTCCGCCGGCGCCCTGCCCGCTCCGCGGCCTCCGCGCTCGCTCCTCAGCCCAAAATGGCCGCCGGAGCCCAACCAGGAAACGGGGCGGCGTCTTGCCGAGCGGCGCTTACATGGCCGGGGGGCGGCCACGGGGCACGCCGGCGGCGCATGCGCGCGGGCAGGCCTTTCTTCCCTCAGCCCCGTCGGCGCGGCGCGGCGGGCGGCGCTGCGCATTGGCCACCGAGGAGCCGGCCGGGGTGACGTCGGCGGGCAGACGTGGCAGCCCGGGCGAGCCGGCTGGGCGGGGCCTGGCGGGGCGGGGCCGCGGCCTGCCGAGGCCTGGCTGCTGTTGTGGCGGTGCGGTCGCGGTGCCCATTGGGCCGGTTGGCGATGGAGCGCTATCGCGGTGCTGGCACACGTGTTCCCGCGGACGCTCTGGCCTTCCTGACCGAGCAGGTCGCTGAGATGCCGTGCTGGGATGGCGGGCGCTCGGTGCTGCTCAGCCCTGCGCATCCCAGCGGCTCCACATAATCGCCTGGGGAATGTCAGTCCCCGGCGACACGTTATCTGGCGTCCCTTGGTTACAAAGGGCACCGTGTAACGCGTTGACCAAAGTTTATTATCCAGGTGGCTCAAAGGAACAACCCGCAAACAGCCTGCATGTTGCTGCCTGCGTCCCGTGCCAGCGCTCCCGTGGCAGCAGAGCTCAGTGCCCACAGGAGCTGATTGTCTTGTTTCCCCACAGTAAGACTGTGATGAGCTGCTCATGCTCCACACGGCTCCGCGTTTGTAGCGTGGTTACGTTAATTTCCAGAAAGGAAGTCAACAAAGTGTACCAACTGAAATGGGAAATGTCGAGCGTTGGTTTTAAAAGCTCTGGGTTTCCTTTGCTTGCTTGTGTTGGTTGTCAGACAGCGACCTCCGTGTGGATCAGTCACATTGCTGTGCATTCTGCTTTCGTGGTGGCCATCATGGAAGGCTCTGCTTCCCTTTCCCTATATGGTGTATGTGTGAAATAATATTCCTCATCTCCCCTTTTTTAATGCACACCACCAGAAATGCAGTGAAACCTTTGAAACTCTCTCTTTTCACCCACATTTCTCTTACATATCATATTTGAGATGCTCAGTGTGAGGTGACCGGAAGCACAGGAATATCCCAGACAGAACATTGACAGAACATTGTTCTCTGCTGCCACAAGTTGATGTTTGTTTTATTAACGTCTTAACACTTCTACCTTTTTTGTGTGTGAATGTTGAAACAAACAGCTCCAACCACCCCAATGCCTTGTTCTGTTTTTCTCAGGAGTAATGCTGACAGGCCACAGAAAAGAGAGCTCTGCCATACTTGGTGCAGTAGAGAATCGGCAAACTCAGAGCATACACAGGAACAAACCAATTCTGGCTCTAGCAAACTATGAAAGCTGCAGATTAGATTTGCTTCTGAAGTAGGGCACAGGCTGATAAGAATGTGGGATGCTGCTTCATCGCAGAGAAATAATAGCTTCCATGTCTGAGAAAAGCATATTTAATTGGTACAACCGAAGCAGTGGCACAGCAGGCAAGGTAACCTGTCACTGCAGGCTGCCTATCTGCTCTGGTAGGGCAGAGCTACATGGTGGATTCATCTGTTGGGAGGTGCAGGCTGAGGTCATCTGTTGCTGTCACAGTTCCGTACCTGTTGGACTGGATGAACAGGCTGGGACCACTGCCTGCTTTCTAGCTGGGATGGGAGCAATGATTTATTGTCTGTGTCACAGCATATCCTGTTCCTCCTCCTTCATTAAGTGGGTATCATGGTGTATCCTGAACGCCACGAACCACTGGATAGTCCTAGAGGCCCTCCCGGTCTCTTACTGAAAGGAGGATAACACAAGCAGCAGTATCATGTGCTGGCTGGAGAAATATTATTCATATACCTTCAGGGCTGAATTCTGCCTGTGCCAATGGGACTGATTTTATCCTGTTAGTGAAATCAGCTGCAGAATTTCCTTTGGCTCCAGCTGTACTGTGCTACCAGAGCAGCCTAGGAAAAGGCATGTGTGTAGGTTGCCTTGAACTGTAATGGCCCTCCCTGGTTCTGTGTGCCTTGTTTTCACTAACTTGACTCAGTAACTCCTGTTTTTGAGGTTGAACTCTGCTGGTTCTGACTGTTGTCCCAACTTAGGTGACAGGCTGGGACCTGCCTTCCCCATTTTCCACCTTTCCCCTCCCTAGGCCACAAAAGGTGCCCATGGCAGCTGCTGCCAGAGGATGCTTTGGGAAATGGGGGTGGAAAGGGGACAGGACACAGCTTAGAGAGTGGGAAGGAGAGAAAGAACAATCTGTGATGGCTGCAGGCAGATGTAAGGGGGGAGAGGAAGGAGGCAAAGCAGCACAAATGATGGTGGAAGAATGCAACAGCTGCATAATCCACTTCTGAGCACAGATGCTGCACTGCAGTATGGAGCCCATGTGCCTGCTCTGTTGCAGTGCTGACAGTGGGACTGCGAGGGTATCACCCCTACAGACTGCAGAGAGCATTGAGCTGCATGAGGTTCACTCCTCCTTCCTCTTCTGCCCTCATTTCATACAAAAATATTCTATTTTTTAGCTATATCATCATGCCACACACTCACAGGGCAAGGGCTGGTTTCAGGTCTGCTGTCTACCAGTTTTTAAACAGTTTTTACTTTTGTCTTGAACCAAAGGTAGGGAGAATCAGGCCTCTGACTCAAATACTACCTTCCCACAAAGCTGCCATGTTAGCACAGTGGTGTTCAGATATCATTTGGCCTCTGCCAGTGTCCTTTTCCCTAGACCTTGTGTAAAATGAAAATAAAAAATAAAACTGTTTCTCCACCTGTCCTCCTCTGCTCTTCCTTCTCCCTCCCCTGCTCAGTGTCTGGTACATGCTGTGGGAAGGTCACAGGCTAACAAATGCACAACCAGACAGAGAAGGTCAGGTACCAGGAACACACAACAACAAGCTGAGATTCTACAAATGGCAGTTTTGATACTGGGAGTCCTGGGGAACAAACAAACACTGATTTGGGCTTATCAATAGCAGCCCGTCTCTCCTATACTGCTCACAATCCTCCCATGTATTTGATCTCTTTGCAGTGCTGTTCAGATGCTGATGTTTTTCTAACAGTACAACCAGTCCATTTCAGGTGTGCTGGCAGAACATCGAAAGTGGTATCTGCACATTCTTCTCCTCCTTGTGAATTCTTAATTTAGGAAATAAAGGTCAAAGGAGAAGTGTGTAGCTGATGGGCCCACGGGTACCACTGAGAGGGAAGGAGCCAAGCTCTCCAATGTACTATTTAATCTGTATATTCATTGATTGTACAATGAAGTGTCAAGAGCATTTAGTGGGATGTGAGGGATATTCTCCCAGGAGAGCAGACATCTATCTCTGTTGGGGAACTTCTGGAAAGAGTTCTGCCATCTTATTCTGGCTCCTTTCTTCAGAATCCAAGCCTCATTTTGTTTCAGTACTGTAGTGAGCACGTGGGAGTTTTGGATGTAATTGCCATGCAGATTTGAAATAGAAGATTATATTAAATGGAATACCTGTTAACTTTTATACTTTCCTTTATATTGTTCTTGAGTTTGCATTGTTGGCATAGTTCAGATCTTGATTTCCCAACCTTCTGCAAAACTGACAAGACCACATTTTGTATTGCATGAGCTGCCTCGGAGGAAGCCGTTGGAGCTTTGGCTGCACAGACCTACTGGAAGCAGCTGAACACAGCCAGCTCAGGGCAGGAATTGAATACACCTACTGAAATTGTAGGAAAAATAAGGTTGGAAGAGACACCAAGAGACAACTGAGTTGTATCCTCTGCCTAAATTGTATCTATTTCAATCCAAATAACTGTTTTCTTAAAAGCTTCCAGAAGTGGCAATTCCAGTGCTCCCTTACAGCGCCCACAAGAAATCTAAAAAAGCTCAGTGGTAAAATGATTCCAGTGATAAATTAAGCAGCTCAGGCTTTCAGTTAAGGTTGCTGGTGAGCCCAGTACATTGTAATTAATAAGTTACATCCTGGCCAACTTTTCAATCATAATCTTCAGTGCCACAAAAGATAAAGAAGAAAGAGCTCAAACCGATGTGTTTGGTGTCTGTGGCTCTGTGCCATCCAAGGATGGGTTCTGTATCTTGTTTTTTGTCATGGCAGCTCAGCCTGAGGACAGCAGCTGTGTGACAGGAGGTTGGACCCTGAGCCACCTGATGCCTCAGCCCTGGTTCCCTTCCTGGAAATAAACCCTAATGCAGACTTCAGCTGATTGCCACATAAACACTGGGGCAGAGTACTGCTAGAAAGCTTGCTTGAAAAAGGCCCAAGAACAACAGGAAGTAAAACCACACTGGTTTACTTAGTGGGGATCGTAATATTCTTCACAGATAATGCCAAAGGCCATCTCCTGCCTCTGACTCAAGCATTTTGCAACCCAGTGGAGATAACAGGGTAGTGCACGATGGAATTTGGTCACCGTGCTCTTTGCTTAGGTATCTATTTGTGTAAGAGTTTAATTCATCACACCAGTTATCATCTAAATGCTCTGGCATGTATTCATCCAACATGGCTGGCACCTCCCTGCTTGGCACAGATGTTATTTAACACTGACATGGATTTAATACCAAAGGTTGTTTTATTGAGTTTTGATGCCAGGGCACTGGAGGAGAGCTTCACCTGGTTAGACTGACAGGCTGCAGTTTTCTTATATATCTGTATGGCATCTAGAAGTGGGCAAAAGGATACATTTCTAGCAAACAATGGCAAATCAAATCAGCATCTGTACTTCCTTTCATCTTCCACTGCCTCATCCTTTTTCTTCAATATCAGCTTTTTGGGCCATCATTCTCCCAACTCACCCATCACTAACTTCACTTAACTTGGTATGGGGCATCTGTTAGCAAGTTTGTGAAGCTGCTTGCATGTCTGTGTACTGCTTAGCTGTGTGTCGGGAGAGAGCATCTCAGACTTCTGTGATGCTCTGTGGATCTGCAGTTGCATAGTTGACCGTCTCATGGAATTATCAGTTTTCACAGGGGCTAAAGATGCAGGGAGGAAGGAGGAACCACCTCCCACACTACACCTATCTTCATGAGGGAAGACAAACAACTTCAGCCCAGCTCCATAGGCACTTTCCTCTCTCCAAAGAGGATTATTTTGGACTCCTGCCATGCCAGTGATTGGATACACAGTTGGAGAAACAAGTTACAGCTCAAAGGTGTCACACTAACGAGACCCTCCCCACCCCCAAATACAGTGCATGCCATGCTTGGGCCCCCACAGTCTTCCAAACACAAATCTTCCTTACAACTCTGTGTTTTTCTTGTTTCTACTTCTCGTAAGTATCCTGCTATATTTCATGCCTGAAAGAGGCAACAGGAAGGAGATCAACTGGAAGGCACGGGATCAGTCAGCAAGGACATTTAGTCTACCCAGAGCTCTGAAGCACACCTCTCCTTGATGCTGAATCATTCTGTAAGCTGGTGCATTTCACCTCAAGAGTTTTATTATGGAATTTAGAGAGATCTGAAAGTATGCTTACATAACAGGTTTGTCCTATCAGTATTGTTGATAATTGCATACCTTCCTTGGCTGGCAGACTAAACTGTGAGTAGTTATACACTGAATTGAACTAACAAATAACAGAAAACCAGATGGGATTCATCTGTTATCACTGTTGTTCAGCATTAATCCTTACATGTAACAGAAATGCAGTGAGAAAGCTTGGGCTCTGTGTCTGTTAAGAACCAAATGTCTTCATCCTAACACAGCACATCTGTAAGGCTAGTCAATTAGATCTGTAATTGACAGCCTTTACTCCAATTCCTTCAGATGGCAGATGAGGATAAAGTATCATCCCTATTATTTCAGAGCCAATCTCGTAATTCCTGTTATCTGTATCATACAAGGATACGCATCACTACAGTCCTGTGAGGAGGATGGGACAGACCAGTTTAATAAAATCTTTGATGAAGCAAAGAACAGTTTTTGGACTGCAAAATACTCTGAATTTTGGTAACAGAATTTGAAAGAAGAAATAAAATAAATTCAGCTTAAAACTTCAATCAGTGAATTCAAGTGGTAAAGCTCACTATCATGGAACAGCCAAGACAAGAAACAAGCACTAAACAGATTCTTTAGTCCACAGAGGGTGGGTTCTAAATTATGTCTTTAGAAACTTAGATAATCAGACTAGTTTCCAGGTATACCAAAAAGATTCTTGCTGATCTCAAAAGACTGCTTACCACTGTGGGTGAGGAATGGCCAGTGAAGCTTACAGGTCACCAGTGGATTTTCTTGTAAGATATAATCTTCTATGGCTGGAAGGGTTGTTGCACAAATTCATCCATGCTGTCCTTCTCCTGAGATCTGACAACACGGAAATGGCACTGATGAGGCAGCTCCAGTTTCTCCCTAAAAGCAAACCAAAGAAGACAGAACAGATATATAATTTCAGGAGCTGTAAATTAGCCACTAAGGATTAAAGAGAAAAAAAAAAGAAAATATTTACATTCCACTGGTAACAATGGTGAAAAATAATTAGAAAGAATGTTAGAAATGTTAGAAAAATAATTAGAAAGAAGTTCCAAAATCAGGAACTAAAATTATTTATAGCTATTTAAAGATGAAGTAATAAACAATTAAACACAATCAGTTCCTGCACACACTGCCTATGTTCATTAACTAATGAGATTCTTTCTGTACTGTGGAGAAAACAGGTCACATTTTGAACGCATGAGCTTATTCAGATTCAGCTGCTATCTAGCACAGTACTGTTCCATTTAATATTCATTCCATGGCTAGTGTTCAGTGTCCAAATACAAAACTTGCTCATGGTTCAGAAGATGTGGTAAAATCATCACTAAATAAGGAGCATCACAAAGCTGAGTGGGTTGGAAAGTCACTGGGGTTTATTATCTGAGATAGATAATAATGTAGATCTGAGATCCACATGGAAGAGATACAGCACATGGGGAACATGTGCTGTATCACAGCATAGTTGCAAGGGCAACAGCTTCCACTGAGCTGATTTTTAGTTGCTGTTAGTTCTAAGAGTAGAGTTTGGAAGGAGCAGTGGACTACTGCTCTCTCCATCAACACGTAATTAACATTACTGGAGACCCCAGCATCCTTCATTAATGGAAAGTGTGCTGCCAGCTCTTTTCTAGTGCAAGCCCCTGCACTAATGTGGCACTTGCCAGATGTAGTGACCCCTGACTCCGTGTGGGGAGGCACACACTTCTACACATCTACGAGGCCATGGTTCTCCCCCAAGTCCTGTCTCAAGGTGTCATTCAGAATTGTGCAAAGTGATGTAAAATAATAACATTTCATGGCTACGTCTGTTAAGCTTCGTATCATAAACATAAAAGACTGCTGAGAAGGATGCAGCCTATCTAAAACTAAGAAAGCAAGGGAGAACTGCAGTGGCAGTATGTCATATTGCAACACATGCTGCAGTCAGAAAGAAAATAAAGCACAGACCTTTGTTACTGCTTTCTGTTCATGGAAACAACAAGACCTTTTAAAAAAATGAAAGTGATGCATCTTCATTTTCTTTGGTGGGCAGTCATGTCCATGGCAAAAAGAGGTACATCAAGTGAGTTGTGGTTACAGCATTTAGTCCAGCTGTAGTTTTTTTAGTCTCATTAAATGCACAAAACTGAGGCAGAAGTGACTCCTCAATAACATTGCTTCTAAGCAATTGACAGCAGAGAACCAAGAAATTGGCCTATGACAGCAAGAGAGAAAAGAGCAATCCAAGAAAGTTCCAGCTGTAATGTTATGTTTACTGCAGTTATGCCAAGTTCAAACACATTTCTTTTCCTACTCACTGCACTGTATCCCAAAGGGGCAGTATGGCATGCACCCATGAGACACAAACCCTGCAAGAAACACAGTGGGATATACATATTTAGCCTAATGGGAAATAGCTTTTAGATGTTTAAGTCAAGGTTAATGCTAATTTGCACCTCTTGCTTAATATCTGAGATTGATAAAAGTGAATAACAGGATAAAAATACTGTCCTGTGGCCTCCTCTGTATCTAGCATGTATGAATGTCACCCAGTACTTTGGACTCTTTCCCACAGCTGAGCCAAAAGCTGTGTGGAAGGCAGAGCTGAGCTGCAAGGAGTGATCCTCTGTTTTTATAACACAGTTCCTACTTGTCTCCCTGTCCATTTCAGCTGAGCTCCATGCATACACAGCTGTTTGGCAGCACTATTATTTGTGAGCCATTTACGTTTCTCATTAGCTTATTATACATGCAGAATTCTGTGAGATAAAAAGAAAACAAAAAGCTGCTATTGATATGAAAATGGAGACTGGAGACTGAACCAACAGCACGACCAAGGAAGTTTCATGTTCAGTGGAAGAGACAATGACGATCTGTTTCTTTCAACACAATCACAACCAGCTCAGACAAAGATGCTCACTCTCATTACAGCAGAGCATGTATGGACACTGTCATGCTAACAGAAATGTTAGCTCAGCAGGAATTTGCTGAAGAGCAAAGCAGGGAAAAGCTGTTTATGAAAACTAAGAACTGTAATAGCTCGGTTTCACTTTTGCTTCGTGCTTTCAACACAGCAACTGTGAAGCTGCAATCTGAAAAGGCTCTGTATGCTTTCTTCTCTACAGAAGTCTCAGTAGACCAGCTTGCAAAATAGGTCTTCCAGGAATATATTCTGACTAAGAAAGGAAAGCTTTATATATGTGTGTATATATATATATATATGCATATATATATATGAGCTATTCATTGAGCCAGATCTGCAAAAATATGCCGCCTGAGAGGAATCCACTTCTTCTAACTACCTATTTGTATACCAGAGATTGAAAAAGCGTGGCTGTTCAGCTCCAAAACAAATCTTATAGGAAGAGCGACCAAATGAAAAGGAAACACCTGAAGTTGGACTTCTGAATGTGTGTAAATTAGATTTGTGAAGGGGTGTAAGGACAGTCAGGACCTTTTGGAGGGATCTGCAATCTGCTTCCCTTGTAATCTGAAAGGTTTGAGGTCTGAGGTCTGAAATTGTTGATCTGAAAGATCTGTGTTCCTTCTGTGGGCCAGCAAAGCAGAAAGCTACTTTCACTCCTCTCAGAAAGCATTGGGAGTGTGTGCAGACACAGCACGACAGTTATCTGGCAAGCTGCAGTGACATGCCACCTCTCCAACACTACACTACTCCAACTGAGTACACCTTGTCTCACGTGCTGGACATTTGGGATGAGTGACCTCCTGCGTGCAAAGATTTGCTCCTGTATCAGTCTGCATCAGTGACTGAGGGTTAGGAGGATGGAAAAAAGGAGCTTTCATTGTTTGATGTAATGAATGTTGAAAAAAAACAGGACTTAGAATCATATCATGGAATCACAAAATGGCCTGGGTTGAGAAGGATCATCCAGTTTCAACCCCTGCTATGTGCAGGGTCGCCAACCACCAGAGCAGGCTGCCCAGAGCCACATCCAGCCTGGCCTTGAATGCCTCCAGGGATGGGGCATCCACAGCCTCCTTGGGCAGCCTGTTCCAGTGCATCTCCACCCTCTGTGTGAAAAACTTCCTGTTAATATCTAACCTAAACCTCCCCTTCTCGATTTAAAACCATCCTCCCTTGTCCTATCACCCTCACAGCCATTCCTCCTCCTATTTATACACTTAGCTTTCTAAAAAATGCTGTTTTACTACAAGAGAGCAATGGATTGCTAACTACTGATTGTAAAAAGAGATCATTGACTTATATTATATGGACAATTTATGCTGCTTGCATGAAATAATTAAAAATTGCATCCATCTACTGATTTTTTTACAGAATATTATCACATTCTGGCAGAACACAGTACATCTGCTGAGAAACTAGCTCACAACGTGCGACACCTCCTATCTCTGCCAATATTAGCTTTATGGATCTAGTAATAATATTATGCTAATAGCTGCTGATTGTTATTTGTGTACCAGACTGTTCCAATACCATGGTGATGAGTGTGCTGTTAGTGTCTGGAACAGATGGACAGAACATGAGAGATGTTTGCCTTGATATTAAGATAAATAGGATTACCTGTTTCATTAACAAGGCTACATGAAATCATGGGCAAAAACACGTGGTCCTATCACCATCTCCAGTTGCTGACAGAAAGAAAAAGACTGCACATTTGTTTTATTTATTTATGCCACAAACAATGTACCCTAACTTTCAGAAAGAGCAACTCTTTGAACCACACGTAAAGCCAATGCAGCTGTTTCATGCTGTTAAGAGTAGAAACTAAATTCACCACCTCCTGCTCCTCCCTGCCAGCTGCCCAGCTCCTTTCCAGCTCTTTGCAGAACTGATCCTTGAGGCTGGAGATGGGGGTAAGGAATCACAACACAGTGATTCCTTACCTGTTGATTTTAAGGATACCTCGTAAGGAAGAATTGCAACAGCTTCCATCCTCTTTGGAGAAAAGAATTAGAAGAGTAATGAACACTCCTACACCTCATCTTTTCAATATTACAGAGATACAAGGAGAAAGGTCCTGCTATGTTGTTTCTTTAGCCAGACCATGGAAGTCAAGGTAGCAACTTTATTCTGCACTCTCTTCTTCTCACAGAAATGAGAAAGAAAGGCCATGAGACAGAAAGGAAACATTTTCACTGTAGGTTGTGCAGCTCTGTTTAGAATTAAGACCACAATATTGGAAAAAAAAAGATCTCAGGGTACTATAGTATTATACAATACAAGATATGATTCCATATACAGATTGTACTTGATTGAAAAAGCAGTTATGTAGGAAAGAAAGCTCTGACACGGAGCGCTGGGGATATAACCATAACAATTCCTTTCCTATCTCAGTGAAAAGCCAAAAGAAGAAACTGGAATCTACTGCTTTCATAGAGGAGCTGCCAATTTCCCACTGGTATCAGAGGCCAGTCATGTTTGGGAAGGAAATGACCTACTGCTGCACGGCAAAAGTAGCAGGTGCAGATGGCATGTGAGCAACTTTCCCAATCACTGATCTGCCAAGGTCACAAAACAGAAAGCACAAAGGTACACCGGTACAAATGGTTTTAAGGACACTCATTCAGCTCCTGCCAGGTCATCTACAGATTCTGAAAGCACTTCATTCTATTTGGCATGCAAAAAGGTATGAAATAAGGCCACCGACACAGATGAGGTGTCAGATCACCACAGTGATGTATTTCCTCTTCCCACCACACACAAACCAAATTCTGTAAATTACATATGTCAACAAGCACTAGCAATATGCTGAAGCACCACAGTCATTCAAATGAATGGCAGTGCCTCGTCTTTAAATTTAATTGTCTGTTCGTGCTGCCAGGAATGCTGTTTGGAACTGTCTGCCTGTCCTGCAGCACTGCCTGGCCTGCAGGCAGCTTCACAATGTCAGGTTGCAGCAAAGAGCTGTGAAAGG